GGGGACGGATAAGTGTGCGGTACTCCATGTTGAGAGGGGTAGGGTTGCTAACTCTGAGGGCATAGACTTATCTATGCCCGTCAACTTAAGGACCCTTTCCAAGGCTGAAACATACCGATACCTGGGTATGTCACAGAACATCGGTATCGATGAGGCTGATATGAAACAGTCAGTTTGCGACGTGTTTTATGCACGCTTGACCAAAGTGCTTAACAGCCTTTTGTCCGGTGTGAATAAGACACAAGCATATAACGGCTGGGTCATGCCTGTCCTCATGTACACCTTTGGCATACTCAGATGGACTCAGACTGAACTTAACGCCCTGGATAGAAAAGTCCGCACTACCATAACGTCCCACAGGATGCATCATCCGAGATCGTCGGTAATGAGGCTGTACTTGCCGCGAAAGCATGGTGGGCGTGGCTTCTTGAGCGCGCTCACCATGCATAATCGCGAAGTGTGCAGCCTCCGTAATTACTTCCTCGCGAGATCGGAAGATCCATTCTATAAGGACGTCATTTCTTGTGATAAAGGACTTACCCCTCTATCCTTAGCCAACGAGCAATGGCAAGACCCGGCAGTGCAGAGCAGTTTCCGACCGGGAGACCGTATGGAAGGAGAAGGAGCTCCACGGGAGGTTCTACAAGTCTCTACATGGGCCTTTCGTAGACACAGTAACCTCCCTCCACTGGCTACGCTTTGGTGACCTCTTCGGGGAAACCGAGGGTTTTGTCTGTGCAATACAGGATCAGGTTATTAAGACCAACAACTATCGGAGATACATCCTAAAGGATGGCATCATCGACATCTGTCGAGCTTGTCGCCATCCCGGTGAGTCACTTAGGCATGTCATCTCCGGTTGTTCGGCGCTTTCTAACTCTGAGTACTTGCACAGGCACAACCTAGTAGCCAGAATTCTACACCAGGAGCTCGCTCTGAAATACGGTTTCGTGGATCGGAAATTGCCGTATTACAAGTACTTGCCGGAAGCCGTGCTCGAAAATGATCGCGCCAGGTTCTATTGGGACCGGGCCATCATCACAGACAGGACTATTCTTGCGAATAAGCCTGATATTGTGCTGATGGACCGGGCACAGTCAAGGATATTTTTGGTCGACATTACCATTCCGTGTGACGAGAACCTCGTGAAAGCCGAAACAGATAAGCAAACAAAATATCTGGACCTGGCTCACGAGGTGACCGACATGTGGGGTGGTCTGCCGACTGAAATTATTCCTGTAGTCGTCTCTGCAAACGGGCTAATCCCAGTCAGCCTCTCGGGTCATCTGAGGCGGCTGGGACTACGTGGCGGACCGCTCCAGGCTCAAATGCAGAAGGCGGTGCTCCTCGATACCGCCCGCATCGTCCGCCGGTTTCTTTCCCTTTCCCCCTAACCCTCGGCCGCTTGGTCTCCCCTGCCGAGGGCCTCCATCTGGTTGGGCTTTTATTTATGTATGTATTTTTGTATTTATTTTATATTATTGATGTTTATGTATATTTATCTTTTCATTTCCATTTATAATTATATATTTATAGAACCCAACCAGATGAGAAAATTATATTGATACCCCCATAATAATAATAATAATAATAATTGACATGAGACTTTACCATGTTACAATATAGTTTAATTTAAAATAATAGCGTTTTGACAATTGCATTAAAGGTTGGTAACCAAACAACTAAACAGCTAACGATCAACGCACCTGAGACTGAAGACCTGAAGCTGAGACAAAGAGGCGGTTAATATCCAATAGGTTGATAGTTTCGTCGCTTCTTCGCGTAACGGAATGGATATGGTTTTACGTTATGAGACGTTACGTTAGCTGTGTTGCGTTTGGATTCTCTTCGATTGAACGTTATTGTTAAAATCGTTTTCTTTGTGCAGCGTATTGATACAAAATGTTATATTCTGTATAAACCGTTTTTAGTTACGTATTGATATATCGCACTCATGCCTACAAAATTCGACTTGTTTGGTTTGGTGACGTGGATGGAGGATTATTTTGTAATCAAAGCAAAGAATTATCTGACCTATACCAGGAAGATCCAACTTATTTAAGATCTGTGGGAAAATCAAAGAACGTAGTGTTTATATCTAGGACAAATATACTTTGTCCAAGAATTAATAATTTCAAGGGCTATGTATACTATTTGAGTTTTGATATGGGTTTGATTTCGTTTGATTTGGTGCTTTTAGGCATAGGCATGTTAATTCATCCTAAAAAACTTCGATTTTCTATTTCATTGGGAAAATCAAAGAACGTAGTATTTATATCTAGGACAAATATACTTTGTCCAAGAATTAATAATTTCAAGGGCTATATATACTATTTGAGTTTTGATATGGGTTTGATTTCGTTTGATTTGGTGCTTTTAGGCATAGGCATGTTAATTCATCCTAAAAAACCTCGATTTTCTATTTCATTTTATTTGGTTGCTAACAAAAGTTATTTAATTTTTTATTCGAATTGAGTGCAATAGTACCTATTCTTGATTAAACCGAGCATTGTAATTTCGGTTTTCAATTAATTGATTTGTTAGCTAGTTTTTAAACGTTCTGACTCGAACATACAGCTTCATCAACAAAAATATCAACTTTTTACAAAATTGTTATCCTGTCAAAAATATAACAAAAGCAGTTTGTAAGCAGTTTTTGTACCAAATTAAATAAGCAATGGACAAAGAATGTTCCAATAAATACTTTGGCATATTTTGATATTAATAATGAAAACTCTGATTTTGTCAAAAATATGAGTACTGCGATAGATTTATTAATCACAAATACAATTTATTACGACGTAGAGGCACGCTGCAGCATGAATAAATCTGCTAGACTGAAGTAGGATCACGCTCTTACAGAATATCACCATAAAATAACAAAACAATGCTGTTTTGTATGGTGTAAAGAACCGGAGACCCGTTTTACTGATACATTCCATGTTAGTCCTCGGTGGTGACATCTTCATTTTGATTCATAGTGAATATAAATGAAGATAGGTAGTAGGTTAGGCGCCGCAGCATTCAATTACCATCAAGTGGACTGTAATATGTTCGATTTTCACTCTTATACAATTAAAGCACTGTAGGTTAGGCTTAGGAATATCCAGTGAAACCAAACACTTTAAAACTTTAAAACTTTAAAACCTTTCTTTCATAATAAAATCGTAGTTAAAAAAACGAAAACCATTATGTGATGAAGTTTATCACCTTAGCTTAATCACAGTTAAATACTAAGCATACTTGCAATTCAAATATATATTATCACATTTATTGAATAAGGATGTATTGGAAAACAACCGTCCTATCGTGCTAGGGAAAAAAGTGTACACTATAATCCTGCCCTGCGCAGGTGGCTAGCTTCCGTTGAATCTGAGATCCGTAACCAGTATTTGCTCTGGTCGACAACGGTATATTTACACATTTTTCTAACTTCTTCGTAAATCGGTGCGATTCAACAAATTCTTAAATCGATTCATTAAATCGATCTAGTGTATTAGTTCGATTTAAAATTGATTCCTTAATAATCGATTTTTTGATTAGTTGTCTCTGTCTCAGGTCCCATACCTATGAGTGCGTCTGGCAGAAAAAAGCGCTAGCAAGCGCTTGTAAGCAAAATGGCAATCGTAAGCGGTAAGCGCTGTCAAATCGTAAGTAGCTATTTTCCTCCAGCACACGATGTTAGTTTTAACCGGGGAACCTAACCTAATTTAAATACATGTTTATAAAGTATTCATATTAAAAACTTACCGATCATGAATTTTTAATAACATATAAGTATATGTTTATTCATGTCAATATATTACTTACAGCTAATATTGCACAAAACAACTTATAAACTCTACTTCAAAACAAACAAATTAAATAAGCAAAATGGCGGATTGTGTCAGCGCTACTGAAGTATCAATCGTGTCCTGGCTGAAAACTGTTTCAGCGCTTGTAAGCGCTTGCTAGCGCTTTTTTCTGCCAAACGCACCCAATGTTTATTGTTATGCAAATGTCATGTCTTAATGTCATTGTCATTCGTGACGTTTCGAAAAGTGAAAAGCTGAAATTAAAGCGAGGATATAGAAATAGTCAGGAATGAAATTGCTAAAAAGAAGACTAATAAATTAAACTATACTGTTTTACGTATAATCTCACGAAATGAATGAAATAGACGATAAATTTTATTATGTCTACAGTTCATCTTTGGACTACAAAGTTGAAATTAAAATGTAAGCATAATGATTTTTATAACACTATCCTGGATTCAATGAATTGAGAAATACAAAACCTTCGGTAAAATGTTAAATCCTCTGCAAGATATGCATATTGCTTAATCTGTTATTAAATTAAACAACGGTGTATCACAAACTGCAGTTTATCATCATCATGTCTTAAAACTTAAAAGTAGTATAAAGTGCCTTCCTGAGATGCCTGCATTCATCAACCTATTGCACCTCTTACCAGGTTGTCTCTCCATCTATTGGGGGCAACCATACACTTTGTTTACCAGTGTGAGGCTGCCACTTGAGAACCTTTTTGCTTGTAGTAGTAGTAGAAAAATACACCCTGCCCCATATCATCCTATGGATGTTGTAAGAGGGGACTGAGGGAAGCAAATCAGAAGAGAGGGCAGTGTCTTACTATTATCAGCTAGAAAGTAAAAAAATCCTGCAGGCTTAGGTAAACTACTATGGCAAACATTCCCCCCTTGATTTTAATTACCTATAAATGGATAATCTGCATTAATGTGAAATTCTTTTATTAATATTAAAATATTCAAAAATATAGGGACTATAACGTAGTACATTAATGTACTGTTTTGAGAGGTCAAATCTAAATTTAAAAAATCATATTTTTATTTGATGATGATTTGTTAGCATGGTTGATGCAGTACAGTAACTTTGTGGATATAATTCTTGGTTTAATTATTTTGTCAAATAATCTTTGTTACCAGAGGCACTCTTGAAGGGAAGCGCACAAAACCTGAGTATGACAAACTCTTGTCAGATCCCATGCTCAAGTTCTCAGGTCTATACCAGGAGGGCTGTTCAGACTTATATGTCACCTGTCAGGTTCTGTGTGATGGATTGCCTCTTGCACTGCCTGTGACTACTTCATATAAGGCCTTTACCAACAGGTGGAAGTAAGTATATTGTTTATTTCACAATAACGTTCTTCACTCAATCTACATAAATACTCACACCTGTTACCCAAAGGGGTTAGAAACTACAGACTTCCATTTGGCATGATCATTACACACTTCAGTTGCCTCCTTTACATCTATATACCTAGGCATATGCTCGTCGGTTAAGGGTATTCATAGTCTGGCCCATCTTCAATATATTGCCAATTTGGTCGATAAACTATTATCTAGGTTGGCCATTCCCGAGTCAGCCATTCACTTCTGTAGTGTAAATTTCTTTTGTCACTCTTTCCTTGTACATTCTTTCTACATGACCAAACCACCAAAGCATTCCTTTATTAATCCTGGTCACAACATCAACTTGCAAACTATTCTATTCTATTCTATCACACATTCCATTACAGGATTTCTATAATATGCTTAATGGCATGAAGAAGTTAAGACTTTCCCATATTCACCATAGCTGGTAGGATGGTAATGGTGCTGCCATCAATCTTTAATATTTAGTTATAACATTTTTGACATGAAAGATCTTTAAAATCACACTGATACACATGGGTATCAAGTCAAAAAAGCGGACTGTAACAAAAAGGTCTATATTGTCTTACCTTAATAATTACAAAACTGTTAGTCTTAAAAATATTAATCTAGTATTATTATTTAATTTATATAGTCAGCTTGCTTTTATGACCTATAGTTTCGGTCGGAGCGGGGGGGGGGGGCTGGCAGGGGATGGCCACTATGTAGAATGACTAAAACAGTGGGCTTAAATCTGGACTAGAAGAGGGCCAATCTTTATGTCCGATAAAGTCAATTCCATGGGCGGTCAATCAGTTTTGCGTGCTTCGTGCCCTATGTGGTGTCATGTGTCCTGTTGGAATATTCAATGTCTGTTTTTAAACATTGTTTCATAAAGAAGTTCCACTATGTTTGTTAGGACAGTATTTTGGTACACCTCGGCATTAGTTTCTACACCTTTTTCACAAAAAAACACCTCAGTTAAGCCTGAATATGAGACTCAAGCCAAACCATGAGTGACGAAGGATAATGTGCTCGTTAAACCCTCGAAATACGCGTGCTGGATTCTTCACTACTGTGGGAACTTTCTTCGATGTTAAAAAAATTTTCATCCAAAAACAAAATTTCGTGGTATGTTTTCCCGCGTACCGGCCTAACAAAGCGCGGTATCTATCCAGCCTAATTTTTTTCAAACGCTCGTTCAAAAACCATCCGGTCTTCTTATGATAAGCTCATAGTCCTAGGTCTTAATTGATCACTCTTTTGACTTTGGTTCTGCTTAGGCCCATCTGAAGAGCTAATATTTTTTGTTTAGGAACAGGATTTCGTTGGATTCGCGCCTTCACTGCTTTGATGATCGCGGGTGTCCTAACTGTAAGCGGTCGGCCGGTCCTCGTACAATCTTCGAAGCTTGAATCTTCAATAAATCGTTTGATAGTGCGATGAACAAATGGTAGGGTTATGTTCAATTTTTGTAGAATATTGAAAATCTCTTTTGGCGCATAATTACAGCGGTGCAACGCTATAACCGCTACTCCATCTTCTTTCTTCGACCACTCCATATTTGAAAATAAAAAGTACTCTGTGTTTGGAAATGAATGAAAATGAATGTCTTTTTTTTCGACAAGCACAAACGTTATATTTTTAAAATTGGTGAAGTTCATCTAGCCAGTATTCAAAACTTTTAAATAATAAGGTTTTGACAGAACTTATGACCCGACTAAGTATGTGTTAGTAACGAACTTATAAACTCTGTTAGTAAGTAAATGTAGGTAATGATAATGTGTTTATTTTCACAGCTGGAATGAGTGGATAACACTGCCAGTTTTCTTTAGCGACCTGCCACGTAATGCTATCCTTGCTTTGACTATCTATGATTGTGCTGGACCAGGGAAGGTCATGATTGTGGGCGGAACTACTATATCTCTCTTCGGAAAGCATGGGATGCTAAGACAGGTTTGTAAATTCATGTATTTTTTATAAAGCAAGAAATTGGAATTGTAGCTACAATATAGTACAGCTGAAGAACCATATCACAAAAACAATTTCTTTTCAACAGTCTTTAAAAAAAGGAGGAGGTTCTCAATTCGACTGTATTTTTTGTGTGTTACCTCAGAACTTTTTTTTAGATGAACTGATTTTGATGATTTTTTTTAATGAAAAAAGCCGGTGCTTCTCATGTGGTCACATTTAAATTTGATCAAGATCTCACCAGTAGTTTTAAGTTATCCTTAATAATGTGTATTTAATAGACTTGATTTTTTACGTGTTAGAGCCATGCGGCAGCTATATTAGTAGTATAGTTATAGCACGAATGGGTCGGCTTGACCGGGGAAGGAGCACGCTCTCACAGAATACCAGTGTCAAATAGTAGTTTAATGCTGCTGTGTTTCGTATGGTGAGTGTAGAGAACCTTTTTACTGGAAACGAGGCATTCCACCTAAGTCCTCACGGATGATAACGCATCTGCATTTTGATTCGTAATCGAGGATTGATGTAGATGTCTATGGGCCACAGCAACCACTTACCATCAGGTGGGCTGTGTGCTAGTTTGTCATCCTATCCTATAAAAAAATTATTTGATTTCAAATACATTGATGATGTTCTGATTTTATTTATATTGAATTCGGTTGTACAAAATTTTTAATTTTACCATTTGATTCAACTAATATTATGTTGTACCAACAATGCAGTCACCAACTCAGCATAAACTACTCTCAAGCAGCTATAAGTTTTTTTTTTGTTTTTATTAAGTTACAAAATCATTGCAAAAATTTTGAGAAAAAAAAAGAAAAACGTGAAATACACAAACGTGGTATTGGTTATTATCAATAAAAAAACTTTAAAAAAATTATGCCACAGTGGCTTCTTCAAAATACATTTTACTCAATAAACGAATTCTTAAATTTCTGAGGACAATTTTGACGGGGCTATAGCATTGACATTGTATATAATAGATAGATAGAAAATTCTTTATTGCACTCAAACGAAACAACTTGGTACAAAGGCGAACTTAATGCCGAAAAGGCATTCTCTGCCAGCTAACCTTTTGTAGTGTGGTGAGAGCTATGGGTAGAGCCGCGAGAGAAAGAAAAACTAACTTATTTATTCATACTATTCAAAACGCATTATATAATATTATGTATATGTTAGTTTACACATATATACACTTATACACATACATACATATATATACATATATATATATATATATATATATATATACATACATATATATTTAAATAAAATATATACTAAACCAATAAAGCATACAATATAGTATACGAAATTATAATAAACATAATCAATAAAATTAATCAAGTAATTTTAAATAATATGCCTCAAGCTTACGTTTAAATGTATTTATTGAAGGAGTATCTTTTAAATCTCGTGGAAGGTTATTCCAAAGTGTAATTGATGATACCGTGAAGGAATCCGAATAGTATGCAGATTTATGCATCGGGATAGTTAGAGTTTTGTTGGTCATCGAACGGGATAAGCTTAAATATGAAAAACGCTCATGATTAAAACTACTTTTACGGATTTTATCGCATTTATTTTTACTTTTTATTTTTAATTCCCTACGTTTCGGGCGCTTTCCAGCACCCATGGTCACGGGGGGACTGAGATGACTGACGTCCCGATGTCATTGTTAAACCCGGAGTACCTTCAGCTTTTTTAATTATTGTTTATGGTCCGATCTATGCAAAATGAACTGACTATGTCCTGAGGTCTTGCAGTGGTATGCTTGGGTTTAGTTTTAATTTTATTGATTATAGGATCCCAAGCAGGTGGTAGTACCCAGCCTCCTTCTCTATTGAAATTAGGATGTTTTTTAATTTCAATAGCCTCACGTATCATCCTTGGTAGGAATCGGTGTTCTTTTTCGCGAGGATTTGTGGTCTATCAAATCTGATGTAATGGTTGGGGCCGTCTAGGACATGATCACAAACTGCAGACTTCCCGGAACGTTGATGCTTCACATCAGCTATATGTTCTTTTACGCGGGTCCTAATTGATCTTTTGGTTTGTCCTATATAAGAGAGACCACATTCACAATCAAGCTTGTACACTCCTGCATCTTGTAGAGGAATATGACACTTGACGGATGGTAGGAACTGACTAATCTTCTTCGGCGGCTTGTAGAATGTTCTAATAGAAGCTCGCTTCAAGATATAGCCAATCTTGTCTGTGACACCTCTGACATATGGTAGTACAGCAGGCACACGCTCGACTGTGGCCGGCTTCACTCGGTCACTGTGACGTAGGCGCGGGACCCGAAGCTTGTTGTCGTGCAGAACTTGCTTGACGTGCTGAAGCTCGGCGGCCAGGTGTTTGCTGTCACAGATCCCTCGTGCTCTCTGTAACAAAGATTTGCCCACGGTAGCTAACTGTGAAGGATGGTGGTGAGATTCACCGTTTAAATATCGGTTTGTATGGGTCTTTTTCCTATACACAGTGTGAGCAATGGTGTTATTAGGATTTCGGATGACTAACACATCTAGGAAAGGTAAGGAATTATTTGCCTCTAACTCCATAGTAAATTGAATTTTAGCGTTTATGGAATTAAGATGTTCTAAAAATGCAGTTACTTTGTCTGATGGTAAAATTGTGAAAGTATCGTCTACGTACCGCTTGTAGATCCTTGGTGTAACAGGTGCAGTAAGGAGGGCTTTCTCCTCAAAGTCTTCCATGAATATATCGGCGACAATGGGAGATACAGGTGAGCCCATCGCCACACCATCTACTTGCTTGTAAAACTCTTCCTTCCACAATAGATAGCCAGATGTAAGGCAATGTCTTAGTAATACTGCATATTCTGCTGGCATGTTATTTTCCTCTAGTTTCCTAGTTATAATTGAGATGCAGCCTTCAACAGGTAGGCATGTAAATAGAGACTGAACATCAAAACTGACCATGGTTTCATTGTCAGTAAGATGTAGGTCTTTTATCTCACTGACAAAATGGTATTGTTACGAGCTTGAGGTTCGTGACAATAAAAGTTGCCGATAAAATTACCTAAATTAACACTTTAATTTACTTTACACAAATTAAAACTAAAAACACTAATAATTAAACACACTAATTCACTTAATTCCGCTCCGAAGCTTCGCTTGTGTCGCCGAGTTCAACTCTGCCCGATCGCATCTTGCAGCGCCTACTTATATAAATTAGCAAAATATCCAGAATGTTCAAGTAAACACGCGCAAGGTACCGAGAGTTCGAGTTTTAAACTTCAAGAAGTTTAGTTCTTTGGTTCGAGACTAGATGGCGCTAGTGCGCCGATTTTAGCGCGTAACACTGCCCCCTCCTAAGACATGCTCGTCCCGAGCATTATCGGTCCCATAATAACGCGCTAGGCGATCCACATGGACGATCTTAGGAGTCCCTCTTGCGCCTTTCTGTAACGGCTCCGCAATGTCAAGGGCTGTTCTATCCCGTGGTGCACCAACATTGTACAATTTCGGTGCTCCTCTACTACGTGTCTGAGGTCCCCGCACGGCCGCACAACTTGTACATGTACGACACCAATCCTCGACATCGTCACGATAATGGACCCAGTAAAACTGTTCTCGGACCTTCAGTAGAGTTCGTTTAACTCCCAGATGGACTCTTGAATGACCATTATGGCACAGCTGTAGAACATTCGGCACTTTAGCTTTAGGGACAACCATTTGCAAACGACAGCTGTCTCTTCGACCATTGTCCCATTTACGGCACAGGACTCCATCCTGAATCAGCAAGCTATTCCATTGGGCCCAATAGCTTTTCGTGGTTGAACTCATCGCTGAGACGTCCCTCCACTTAGGCTTGGTAGCACGGGCATTCATCCATTCCAGAATCGGCTTGATGTCCGGATCTTCCTGCTGTGCATGTCGTAGGCTGTCCTTCCACCCGTTCCTGAGGTGGTCTGTCCTGAGCATCCTCACGGATACCACTTCCTTACTCTCTTGCCTACTACAATGGTTGCAATCTTCAGGACAAGGTCTTCTTGTCAATGCATCTGCGTTGCCGTGAGATTTCCCGCTGCAGTGTCTGATAGTAAAGTCGTATTCCTGCTGCTGCTGGGCGGTGCTGTTAGCCGCACTTCCTTTCTGAGACCGTTCACCTTCCCTTCCTAGGGTGTGCTCAGGGCAGCTGGACCGAAGATGGCCCCTTTCCCCACAGCCATAGCACCTAGGGCTGTATCTTTTATTGTGGTCGCGAACCGTAACTGCTGTAACCTCCCTAGCGTGAGGTGAACGATGATCCTGTCGCCGCCAGGCAGTGTCGTTAGCTGCACTACCCTCTCGAGATCGATCAACTCTCCTTTCCACGGTTCGCTTAGGGCAGCTGATTCGAAGATGGCCCTTTTCCCCACAGCCGTAGCACCTAGGGCTGTATCCTCTGTTGCGATCGCGAACTGTAACTGCTGCAACCTCCCTGACGCGATGGGAACGATGATCCTGCCGCACGGCTTCTACCTCCAGTGCATGGGCCAAGGCGTCCTTAAGCGTCTCGTGGTGCCCGAGCCTCACAGCAGCTCTGACTTCCAGGTCACGCATGCCGTCGATGAATGTCTGCACCAGGTTCCCTTCAATGAGCGCAGGTACAGACCGGTATGCTTTTCGCACCAGCTTCTCCACCTCTAGAGCCCACTGCTGCAGGTTTTCGTTGATGCGCTGCACACGATCTTTAAGCTGCGCACGAAACACGTGTTCCAGGTGAGCGTCGCCATATCTCACCTCCAATGCCTCAAGGAGTTGCTCATAAGTTACTTCCTCACCGAGAGCTTCCAGAACTGCTCTCACACTAGGCCTGGTCGCGCAGGCCTAGTGTGAGAGCAGTCATGGCCTGATTTTTATTCCAGCCGTTCACCTTCATAACAGCCTCGAACTGGATTTTGTAGGCTGACCAGGAAGAGGTACCGTCGAACGGTGGCACCTTGAACCCACGTAGCGAAGGTGTTGTAACTACTACGGGAGCTGTAGCTCCATCTCCAAGTTTGAGTTCGTCCAGTGATTTCTTCATGTCAGCCATTACGTTGTCAACCCGATTGTTTACTTGGTCGATTCGGGTTTCAGCTTTCTCGATTCGGTTTTCAGCTTTCGCGATTTGGGTTTCAGCTTCCGACAGGCGTTTGTCATGCTGAGCAACCCTATCCTTCACCTCCTTTATCTCCTTCCCGAAGGTAGCGTGAAGGTCCTTCATGAGGAGCATCTGTTCCTCCTGTCGGCGGGCCTGTTCCTCTTGTCCGCTCTGCAGCTGCTCTTTCAACTGACGGACCTGTTCCTCCTGTCAGCTCTGCAGCTGCTCTTTCAACTGACGGACCTGTTCTCTGTCGGGAGCCTCTCTCTGTCGGCGAGCTGCTCCTCCTGTCGGCGAGCCTGCTCCTCCTGTCGGCGAGCCTGCTCCTGCAGCATCACCATCGGGGCGCCTAAATCAGGTGCTGCAGATGCAGGAGCTACTGACGAACCGGCCTCCGTTGCCGGCGGCTGGCCCTCCGACGTCTGCGGCGTTGCACCACCAAATCTTCTCTGGTCCGTCTCATGCTGGCGTTGACTGCGGGTACGAACACCCTCCGTTTCCTCCTTAGGTAAAATCGGCATGATTTTATCCCACTTCTGACACCAATTGTTACGAGCTTGAGGTTCGTGACAATAAAAGTTGCCGATAAAATTACCTAAATTAACACTTTAATTTACTTTACACAAATTAAAACTAAAAACACTAATAATTAAACACACTAATTCACTTAATTCCGCTCCGAAGCTTCGCTTGTGTCGCCGAGTTCAACTCTGCCCGATCGCATCTTGCAGCGCCTACTTATATAAATTAGCAAAATATCCAGAATGTTCAAGTAAACACGCGCAAGGTACCGAGAGTTCGAGTTTTAAACTTCAAGAAGTTTAGTTCTTTGGTTCGAGACTAGATGGCGCTAGTGCGCCGATTTTAGCGCGTAACAGTATGAATCCTTAGTGTGTGCTCTTGTGTGTCCTCTGAGTGGTGATAATGTTTTAGCTAAGTATTGAGCCAATCTGTAAGTTGGCGAATCAATCTGACTCACTATTGGACGTAATGGAGCATTCGGTTTGTGTATCTTTGGTAACCCATACAACTTCGGTGGTTTGGCACAGGAAGGTATTATCGAATTAATTAATTTGTATGTTGTAAACCGAAGTTGTATGGGTTACCAAAGATACACAAACCGAATGCTCCATTACGTCCAATAGTGAGTCAGATTGATTCGCCAACTTACAGATTGGCTCAATACTTAGCTAAAATATTATCACCACTCAGAGGACACACAAGAGCACACACTAAGGATTCATACCATTTTGTCAGTGAGATAAAAGACCTACATCTTACTGACAATGAAACCATGGTCAGTTTTGATGTTCAGTCTCTATTTACATGCCTACCTGTTGAAGACTGCATCTCAATTATAACTAGGAAACTAGAGGAAAATAACATGCCAGCAGAATATGCAGTATTACTAAGACATTGCCTTACATCTGGCTATCTATTGTGGAAGGAAGAGTTTTACAAGCAAGTAGATGGTGTGGCGATGGGCTCACCTGTATCTCCCATTGTCGCCGATATATTCATGGAAGACTTTGAGGAGAAAGCCCTCCTTACTGCACCTGTTACACCAAGGATCTACAAGCGGTACGTAGACGATACTTTCACAATTTTACCATCAGACAAAGTAACTGCATTTTTAGAACATCTTAATTCCATAAACGCTAAAATTCAATTTACTATGGAGTTAGAGGCAAATAATTCCTTACCTTTCCTAGATGTATTAGTCATCCGAAATCCTAATAACACCATTGTTCACGCTGTGTATAGGAAAAAGACCCATACAAACCGATATTTAAACGGTGAATCTCACCACCATCCTTCACAGTTAGCTACCGTGGGCAAATATTTGTTACAGAGAGCACGAGGGATCTGTGACAGCAAACACCTGGCCGCCAAGCTTCAGCACGTCAAGCAAGTTCTGCACGACAACAAGCTTCGGGTCCCGCGCCTACGTCACAGTGACCGAGTGAAGCCGGCCACAGTCGAGCGTGTGCCTGCTGTACTACCATATGTCAGAGGTGTCACAGACAAGATTGGCTATATCTTGAAGCGAGCTTCTATTAGAACATTCTACAAGCCGCCGAAGAAGATTAGTCAGTTCCTACCATCCGTCAAGTGTCATATTCCTCTACAAGATGCAGGAGTGTACAAGCTTGATTGTGAATGTGGTCTCTCTTATAGAGGACAAACCAAAAGATCAATTAGGACCCGCGTAAAAGAACATATAGCTGATGTGAAGCATCAACGTTCCGGGAAGTCTGCAGTTTGTGATCATATCCTAGACGGCCCCAACCATTACATCAGATTTGATAGACCACAAATCCTCGCGAAAGAACACCAATTCCTACCAAGGATGATACGTGAGGCTATTGAAATTAAAAAAACATCCTAATTTCAATAGAGAAGGAGGCTGGGTACTACCACCTGCTTGGGATCCTATAATCAGTAAAATTAAAACTAAACCCAAGCATACCACTGCAAGACCTCAGGACATAGTCAGTTCATTTTGCATAGATCGGACCATAAACAATAATTAAAAAAGCTGAAGGTACTCCGGGTTTAACAATGACATCGGGACGTCAGTCATCTCAGTCCCCCGTGACCATGGGTGCTGGAAAGCGCCCGAAACGTCGGGAATTAAAAATAAAAAGTAAAAATAAACGCGATAAAATCCGTAAAAGTAGTTTTAATCATGTGCAATGTTCGCGTAAATATAAGAAATCATTATGAAAAACGCTCTTTTAGATAAACTGGGGAACAAGGATTGTGAAGAATACCGTACAAAGTGGTTAGAAGGTGTGTGTTCCGGCGAAAACGGATGTCGAGCGAAATTGTGATATATGATCAAACTTGCGCAGGCCAAAAATATAGCGTTATAATATTGTTTAATTTAATTTTTAAGTGGTTACACAGGTTTATATTTTCTAGTTATTTTGAGGAAGACGCTGCTACCCATGTCCTGGTTCGTTTGTCTCTCTTACGACACCCATGGTATAATATTGGTAGTGGATATTCTTATGGTGGCCACACACGGTCAGTTAAACTGATCGTTCCAACTGATCAGTTCAAACTAAAACTGTTGATGTCCTGGTTCGTTTGTCTCTCTTACGACACCCATGGTTATAATATTGGGTAGTGGATATTCTTATGGTGGCCACACACGGTCAGTTAAACTGATCGTTCCTGATCAGTTCAAACTAAAACTGTTGATGTCCTGGTTCGTTTGTCTCTCTTACGACACCCATGGTATAATATTGGGTAGTGGATATTGTTATGGCCACACACGGTCAGTTAAACTGATCGTTCCAACTGATCAGTTCAAACTAAAACTGTTGATGTCCTGGTTCGTTTGTCTCTCTTACGACACCCATGGTATAATATTGGGTAGTGGATATTGTTATGGCCACACACGGTCAGTTAATGACCAACCAAATGACCGTGTAGCGTCGGTGTAATGGATCCCATACACGGTCAGTTCAACTGATCATTCCAAGTGATCAGTTCAAAATAAAACTGTTGATATTTTTTTAAAATAGTATATTTTCGATATCTCGATCATTATAAATATATTAATATCACAGTTCTACATATAAGTTTATTTATGGATATATCGAAAATCCGATATTTTAAAGACTATCAACAGTTTTAGTTTGAACTGATCAGTTGGAAGGATCAGTTTAACTGACCGTGTGTGGCCATAACAATATCCACTACCCAATATTATACCATGGGTGTCGTAAGAGAGACAAACGAACCAGGACATCAACAGTTTTAGTTTGAACTGATCAGTTGGAACGATCAGATATCCATAAATAATCTTATATGTAAAACTGTGATATTAATATATTTATAATGATCGACATATCGAAAATATACTATTTTAAAAAATATCAACAATTTTATTTTGAACTGATCAGTTGGAATGATCAGTTGAACTGACCGTGTATGGGATCCATTACACCGACGCTACACGGTCATTTTCATTTATTACATACATTTTATGATACTACAGTACTTAGGTCACTTTCATTAGTGATCTACTTGCTAAACTATTACTGGCTTGTTTAGTCAAAGCTTGCAAAAAAGATACGACGTTGTAATGTTAGAGTAGGTACATCTCTTCTCATTATAGAATTGCCCAATTTCTTTTAAAGTCAAATCTTTTGTGTGTGGTAAGAAGATGGACATCATATACAAACATATCGCATGTCGCAAGGTTCGTCTTAATCGTTAAAGTGACATAGAATATAATATTTGAATTTTTCTCTATTTTGTACCTAACTTTTTTTACACATTCGGGATTTCTTATTACCTTTTCAACAGTATGCTATGTTTAAAAGTCATTTGTAATATTAATTTATTTATCGTTTTCTTTTAATCAATGTAATGCTATAGTCACGTATAAAGCGCGAGCTTATCTATATAAATATATACTGACAATATTTATGCAGTTATTACCCTTTCAACATAATATGTAACTGGGTATTATCATAAACTTCTAGAAAATATTGCACTCCCGTTACTGTAGCTAGTTCATAACAGAAATGGTTTCTGTTATGATTTGTTATAAAACAAAATGTACATGAAATAGTTGTTCTTAAATTTTGAATTAGTAGTAATTCCTAAACCTTTACGCGTTGATAAATATAAATCCTTTTTTTTTTGACAAAAACTCATGTGCGTACAAATACCTTGAAAATATATTACAGAATATGAATGTCAGATATAAATAAAATTTTTGTGATATACTGGATGTCTCTAATCCAGGAGTAGTATAAAAATGGGAAGTTCATCAAGCAAATTAGCTTTTTGGAAGAAATATTTCATATTTTTCGTCAATCGATTAAAAAAGACGCGTGTGGTTGTTACAAAGGGTATGTTCGACTTGCGCGTTTGGCCAGGGGTGGAAGGGAGTGAGAAGACACCGGGTAAGGCTCCAGATCGCGGAAAGGAACAGATGCAGAAGTTGGCCAAATTGGCCAAGAAGCACAGAAATGGACATATGCCTAAGGTGAATATTTATTTCATTCATTATTGTTTTTTTTTTATAGAGTAAGGTTGACAAACGAGCACACAGTCCACCTGATGGTAAGTCGATGCTGTGGCCCATAGAAATCTACATCTATCCTCGATTACGAATCAAAATACGGATGCGTTGTCACCCGTGAGGACTTACATGTAATACCTCGTTTCCAGTAAAAAGGGCCTCCGGTTCTCTACACTCACCATACGAAACACAGCAGCATTAATCTACTATTTGACGCTAGTATTCTGTGAGAGCGTGGTCCTTCCCCGGTCGAGCCGGCCCATTCGTGCTACAACTATACTAATAATATAACTGCAGCATGGCTCTACCACGTTAAGTTAATATTTCATTCGCTTTAGGATTCAATCGAATAAGAGAAGACAAGAGAGAAACTATGTCTTCTTCATCATCAGGCCTAATAGTCCACTGCCTCACATCTTAGAGAGTAACTAAAACACAGAAGGCAACATCGTAATATTAGAATTCTCATACCTTTGATGCTACTCGTAATCAGTTATGATATTTTACGTCTGGTGGACTGTGTTTATTTGACACCATTCTTTAAAAACATTAGACTTATGTACATATGATATTATCTTCGAGATCAGTTTCAATGGAACTATGTCACCCATATAAGCAGGCATACTTAGACCGCTCAATTTCACCATCGCACATCGCGACAAAACTCGCGACACCATCCATACCATCTGGATGATTGGCATGCCACCACTGTGCGATTTAGAAGAAGGTTTCCTCCTCGCACAACTTCCTTGTGGAATCGACTACTACTAGCGGCTGATACGACTTAGGGATCTTCAAGAAAAGAGCTTATTCTTTTTTAAAAGGCCGTCAACGCGTTTTGCACACGGCGACTACGTAAGACGCTGTATTGCACTTCCCCTGGTTACTTACCATCATGTGAGCCGCACGCTCGTTTCTCTCCTCATATATAAAAAATCTTCTTAGAAATTTTAAAAGAAATCAAGCCTCAATACGCTGTAATTGTTTGCCAATACCATGCCTTGTTGCAGGTGGACTGGCTGGACAGACTGACGTTCAGAGAAATCGAGATGATCAACGAAAAGGAGAAGCGTAGCTCCGACTATATGTATCTCATGATTGAGTTCCCCACGGTGCAGATAGACGGCATCAATGTGAGTCCTTTTATATATACGTACTCGTGGTTAGATTCGACCACTATTACAACTTCCGTATACTCACCCGAGTTGTCAACTAAGATGTTATATGCCATAGTTGCCGCACTTGGCACAACGGTTTTATATTTTCCAGTTGTTTAGAGGAAGACATTGCTGACCATCTGCTAGTATGTTCCCCTCTGTCGCCTCTTACGACACCCACGGGATGATATGTGGATGATACCAAGTGGTGGATATTCTTAAACCGCCACTTTTTTACACATTTGCATTTTATAGTAGTACCGGCGATCCGCTCCGGCTGCGCACGAGTGGGACATCAGTGACCAACACACCTACAGAAAACATTTATATGTACTGGATGATCTTTTTTACCGTCTGAAAAAAAATAGGGTGTAACATGTGAACGGAGTAGAAGCCTATGGCACTGGTATTGTACAAAAAATAAAACAAAATTTTTGAATTAAACGTTTGAAAAAAAATTTTTTGAACAATTACTTTTCCCTTTGCCCTTGAGCCTGTGACCCTGCGAAGTGACAAGGTCAAAGATGCCTACAAAATTTATTGCTTTATTGCCGTTCGTAAAGTAGTGTGGATATAGATTGGATATGAATTTCGATAGTTTTTAATTAATTTATTTATTGAATTCAATATTGTTGTTTTCTTTTTCGTAAAATATCAGTGCCATAGGCGTCTACTCCGTTCACATGTTACACCCTATTTTTCCAGAAAATGAAAAAAGGTCATCCAGTATATAAATAATAATTATTGTTTGGCAGCACGCGGTAGTGTACTACGAGCAAGACGGCGACGAGATGTACCAGTTTAGGGCTCAAGCGGAGATCGTTACAGTGCCAGACTATGAAATCTTGCAAGTAAGACAACCGTACATTTATTTTATATATTATTAAAATGAGCCGTGGTAGCTCAGATGGATAGCGCTCGCTGTAAATTTCACAGTACGCGAACAAACTGGGGTTCGATCCCCGCCGGCACCAATGAAATTGTTAATTGCAATTTTAAGTGCTGATTTACCACGTGCTCGGCGGTGAAGGAAAACATCGTGAGGAAACTTGCATGTCTGAGAAATAAGAAAAAAAATTCGTAGACATGTGAAGTTCGCCAACACGCATTGGGGCAGCGTGGCGGACACTTCCTTGCCCTAATACCCTCTCAGAAATGAGAGGAGGCCTGTGCCCAGCAGTGGGACGTATAAAGGCTGTAACTTTACTTTACTACTTTTATTATTAAAATGATAAACTAGTAAGATACTGCCCCTCATACACAATATCTTGTTTGATTTTAAACTATACAATGTCAAAATTAAATGCAAACGTTTATATGGTCTAGACTCAGTTTATGACATAATGGAGATTGAATATAAACTCGAGATTGTCACTGAATGCCAACTTAAGTCTACTATATTAAGTGGTCATTGCAGCTCATGTTCACCGGCAATCAATTTTAAACAAAGAAAAACTAAAAAAGATAAGAAGTATCTTACTGCGTATACCGTCTTTCTCAGCCTTCAACTGAAAAACAAAAACTTTATACGTGGTAGAGCCACGCTGCAGCTATATTATGGTTGTAGCACAAATGCGTCGGCTCGACCGGAGAAGGACCGCGCTCTCACTGAATACCAGCATAAAATAGCAGCTTAATACTGCTGTGTTTAGGTATGGTGAGTGTAGAGATCCTAATACCATTTTTTACTGGAAACGAGTCATGCCATCTTAGTCCTCAGGGGTGACAATGCACCGGCTTTTTGATTCTTAATCTAAGATAAATCTGAATGTCAAGATCCTTTTTACTGATAACGAGGCAATCAAAATTAGCCTACAGTAGTAATAAGGCATATACATTTTGATACTTAATCTAGAATTGAAATGTAGGTTGTGACTGTGTGCTCATTTGAGTCAGTTTTATTCGATAAAAATCATATCAGGTTGGATATTGGTTGGCAGCCAAATAATATATTATTAATTATGAATATATTAATTATTATTTACGAGCCACAGCATCCACTTACCATCATATGGGCTGTGTGCTCGTTTGTCACCCTTATTCTACATTGAAAAAAACTTCTATGTATACTACTAGACGGGAACTACGGTACTAATATATTGCACACTAAAAGTAAAGTAAAGTTACAGCCTATATACGTCCCACTGCTGGGCACAGGCCTCCCCACATTTCTGAGAGGGTTTTAGGGCAAGGAAGTGTCCGCCGCGCTGCCCCAATGCGTGTTGGCGAACTTCACATGTCTTCGAAATATTTTTTTTTTCTTATTCCTCAGACGCAGGTTTCCTCACGATGTTTTCCTTCACCGCCGAGCACGTGATAAATCAGCACTTGAAATTGCATTTAACAATTTCATTGGTGCCGGTGGGGATCGAACCCGGGTTACTCGCGTTCTGTTATATTTACAGCGAGCGTTAACCATCTGAGCTACCACGGCTACTGCGCACTAAGTTATACTCAATTCACCGTAACTTCTTTAGTCAACTGTTCAACTCTATAGGCTTTGGTTGAGCAGATGAAGTACAGAAATTTGTCGCCTTTCGTTACATGTCTCGTAGGCTAGGTGGTCTATGGAAGCGACTGATCTTTAGCTCCAATATTCATTGATGTCGGTATTTCTTTAACACACAGATTCTGTAACGACGATTATTCAAGTTGATATTTTTCATAAAAAATACAAAATGTGGCAGTGTAAATTAAATATTTGAGTTTTATTTACATTAGTGTATAGTTATCAATAAGATAAGCAATTAAGGTTAAATATTTAAAAAAAATTATATCAGTTATATCTGGTACCCGGCGCTTTGCAGCCGCAGAAGAAATAATTGGAGAAATATAGTTTTAAATTTGTAAGAGTTATACAGGGTTATTTTTCAAAGTGTAGAAAATGTTTATATTTAAGTTCAAATATACAATATGTAACGTAATTAACGCACACCCTCAGACACCCCAATTAGTATATTATGTTATAATCATAATACATACACTGAATTTTTAGTTAAACATTTTTATGCACTGATTATTTATCAAATTAGTTATACTAATTCCGGAAGAATTTTGTGGTCACAGTACAAATCCACGAACGCAAAGACTTTAACGTGCTTGAAATAAAGTAAATTTTTCTTTATTTTTATTGAATGACAGAATTAGTAATATTACAAATAAACTGCACTCTTATTAAGTCTTATTGCCTTAAGTTACGGTCCATTTCAGTTTGTTTTGTCTGTACAGATTTCGTGTGACTGTAATTTACGTAGTTTTAATTATTTTTAGGATAAAAAATTATTTATATTAAAAATGATAGGAATCGATTCAGTAAACGAATCTGAACAAACTACTTTCTCAAAGTGCGTTAATTATGTTACGTGTTGTATAAATACTCGTAATACCGATATTACAGTTTTTGAAAATAGGAGCAAATAAGCCTTCTATTTTTATTTGAAATAATCCCAAAATGAATGTAATTTATGGGCAACAATTACTTGTACGTGCGCTCCTGTGTGTGTAATTCAATTCAAGTTTTCTCAAGTTTTTGCCTACTGTTTCCTTTACAGTGACATGTTTAGTAACTAAAGTAAATAACTACACGACGCGAATTATGATTCCAATTTTCCCTTCACACTTTTAACGGACTTAGGATCGTTATAATAAGTACATACAGTAAAAAAATTTTTTTTTTGCTTATAAACGATGTAACCGACGACTGCCATTGTTATGGCGTTAAATTGAAAAAAAAAACTAATACTAGTTCCTCAAAATCGAATCCGTTTTCCTCTATGCATAGACGAGCACGTTTTCTTAAATTATTTTTTACATTTATTACCTATACTTCAGCATTTAATTTCCGTGAACACAGTAATAATTTTGCTGTAGCGGCCTTTATAACTTTGAACCTCTTTGACGTAAACACGACTCTTTATTTCCCCACACAGATAAAAGTCTAATGGTGAAAGTTCTGCCGAGTTTGCAGTCTGTATTATAGGGACTTCGTGCGCAGTCCACTTTATATTCTTTCTTCATTATTCTATCTTCATATTCACTATTTAAATTACTCACCCACGCATACACGCACGCATATCACGCACGCGCACACACACGCATATCATGCTCGCGCACACACACGCATATCATGCACGCGCACACACACGCATATCATGCACGCGCACACACCCACACGCCACACACTCACACACACACGCACACACACACACGCACACACACACACACACACACACACACACACACACACGCACGCACGCACGCGCGCACGCACGCACACACACACACACACACACACACACACACACACACACACACACACACACACATACTTACGCGCTCGCATGCATATATTTTGGGAGACCCTGGCCCTTCTCGGTCTAGCCGACGCATTCGTGCAACAACTATGTAGCTGCGGCATGACCACCAGTTTACCACATCTTATAAAAAATGTTACGCGATGTCTGCTGTTGCACGTTGTACATACATAGTTTAAATGGTCCGTAATGAAAGGGGGAGGTATAATGATGGGATTGCGTGGGTTCCGGCAGGAGAACCTGGTGGAAAGCAAGCAGCACCGGCTGGCACGGTGCGTGCGCGGCGCGTGGGGGCGCGAGGCTAAGCCCACGGCTGCCGAGCGTGACCAGCTCGCCGCGCTCGTGGCCGCGCCGCCACGCCGCCACCTCGCCGCAGACCAATAGGACCTCCTGTGGAAGTTCCGGTGAGTGGGGGGAGGGCGAGGCTAAGCCCACGGCCGCCGAGCGCGACCAGCTTGCCGCGCTCGTGGTCGACCCGCCACGCCGCCCCCTCGCCGCACACGAACAGGACCTCCTGTGGAAGTTCCGGTGAGTGGGGGGGGGGTGAGGCTAAGCTCACGGCCGCCGAGCGGGACCAGCTTGCCGCGTTCGTGACCGCGCCGACACGCCGCCACCTCGCCGCAGACGAACAGGACCTCCTGTGGAAATTCCGGTGAGTGGGGGGGGGGGGCGAGGAAAAGGCCCATAGCCGCCGAGCGTGACCAGCTTGCCGTTCTGGTACCCATAATAGCCCAAACTTAGCAAATACCCCTTGATAAATGAGGATACGATTTAAAATTCACTTTAATACCACTATTACTCGACAGAAAACAGAATTGATTAGCGTGAGACATCAGAGAGAATTTAAACCGGTATTATGAGTATCGGTTTATCATTAATCCACAATAGGATAATTTGTGCAACAAAATATACACGCTGTTTGGTGGAGGGTTGGACAAACTTGGTGGGCGTGTAGATGGACCTATTTGTAAAATACAAATTGAAGTAGAAGACCCTGATTGTTCACATTTTTTTGTTTGTAATTTTCTAATTTTTTCCGAAATTTTACATCTTTACCCCTACAATTTTTTTTTTTAGTTCATGTTTTCGATTGAGCTTTTTATTTGATTTTGGTCCCAGTAGTATCCTTGATCTATCGAAGACGTTGTTAATCCAAAATAATGAGTAAATAATTAGTTATGGGCTCTTAAAGTTAAGAAAATAAAAAAATCATGTCCGAAAGGTCAACTTAGCATCGTTTAAAAAAAACTAATAGTGATCGAGGATTTCAAATGCTTTTAAAAACTTATCTAATCATCGCTTATTACATCGGTGTATTGCATGTGACGGAAAGGTATATCAACTTGTTAAAAATTAACACATAAGAGGAAAATAGAGTGAAAACGCTAAAAATAAAACATTGTAAATATCACTTCCCTATTTCTAATACAACGGTAGGTACGCTATACGTAGTATTTAAATTTTTTTATTATTTTTTAGTATTTTATTTAGTAAAAAATACCTTATATAAATTATGATTTCTTATCATACCTAAGCTTCCGACTGATGTCTTCTAAAAAAAAAAAAACAGGAAATCAATAATTGTAATTGGTGTGGGGCAAACATTCCAAAAACAGAAGCAGTTAAACAGCTTTTGTTTCGCTTAGTACATTGTGCCGCATTCTTTTGTCCCCTTTTGGGGTATATATGTTCTGTGCTTCTGTCTCTTTCCGTCATGGGATATCAGACCCACAATCCTTACCTGTAGAGCGGTACTGTGGCCCCGGATTGTTTAAATGTTTAGTCGTGATTTGACTGCGCATCAAGTTCATTCACATATTAAGTTATCAAAACCTTTTATATCTCATAACGAATCAATTAATTTGTCAAGTATTAAAACATCAACATACTATGTACTTATGAGCCGTGATAGCTCAGATGGTTAGCGCTCGCTGTAAATCTATCACTATTCACAATACGCGAGCAATCCGAGTTCAATCCACGCCGGCACCAATGAAATTATTAATTGCAATTTTAAGTGATGATTAACCACGTGCTCGACAATGAAGGAAAACATCGTGAGGAAATTTGCATATCTGAGAAATATGAAAAAATAAAAATATTTCGAAGACATGTGAAATTCGCCAACACGCATTGGTGCAGCGCGGCGGACACTTCCTTGCCCTAAAACCCTCTCAGAATTGAGGGGAGGCCTGTGCCCAGCACTGGGACGTATATAGGCTGTAACTTTATGTACATATCTAAATAATAAAAATTATATAAGTATATCGGTTTGATTCTTCGAGCCTGAGTTTTAGCCAAGACATGTTTCTGTCACTCATGCTACCTGCGTGGAACAATTACCTAAAATCGCGACACACCCAGGATGACATACGTAGTCGGGGCTTGTAGGCGATTGAATGTTATAGTTTTTTAACAATGTTTACGTAAATATTTTTTTGTAAATACTTGTTGAAATAGTTTTTATTTAGTGTTTAGTATATTTAATTGTAGGATAAAATTGTTAAAAAGTTTTAATGTAATTTAAAAATTATATATATTATGTATATGTATTACCCATCTATTTGATAAATTTTAATGGCAAAACCTCGTTCCTACTATAATTGTTGCATGGATGTACGCTAAATGACCAACAAAATGTTTCAGATATATCATTCTTTAAGTTACCGAAGGATTTTGGTAGGAAGTTATGAAACGTGAATTTATTTAAATTTTATTGTTAGATAGGTACTTATAGCAAAAAGAGTTAAGTAATAATTTATTACTACGAACTGTTTTACAAAATTTAATTGAAATTTACTTCACTATCCGAGTATCTACTTACGTACCTATACTTGTCTTTTGTATTTAAAATATTTTAAGTTATGATAAAACAAAACACTGAAATTAAAACTGATGACAAAAATTTTTACTTGAATATTTAGTTAAAAATTTTAAAAAACCTTTCTGTTGGGAATCGTATTTCAAGTGTATTTGTTGTTTTCACTACTTTTTTTTCTTAGCTTAGCTATTAAACAATTAAATGGAAATATGTTCAAAACAAAATTAAAGAAATTGTTAATTGAAAATGTTTTTCACAATCTCAACAAGTTTTTTAATAAAATTAATGTTAGTAAGTAGTAAATTTTAATTTCTTAATTGTTGCGTATCCGAAATGGGAAAATCCTAAAACTATATGTTTTTGTACTAAGATCATATTGTACACAGTTATGCAAAAAATGTATCTTTATTTTCTGAGCTAAGCATCGCGATTTCCAACGAATGGCCTTGTAAGTTACATGCGTTAGGCATCGCAGAACTCACATAGGTGCGAAAATATGGTCAGTCGATCGTATTCAGAATAGGTATTTCATTTCACCTTTTTTTTTTTTAACATGGGGAAATGCCTACGCATACCCGCCTCGCGGGGGCAAGGACGGGTTATGTCGGACTCGCACCGACTAAAACCCCATGGTGTTCCACCTTCATCGCATATTGGCAGGGCTACGGGAACGCTTTCGCACACATCCGCGGCCCCACCAGCGACTGCCGCCCCATGGCAGCACCTCATCGGGAGAGGAATATTCCTCCCCGTTCTCATTTCCAAGTAAGGCGCACCAGAACACATGGCACGCCTTCATCCACGGCCTCCAATTACATCAGCGCAAGAGACGCCCCCGCGTCCGATGCGCGAAGGCCATGGGGCCAGGAAAAACGAGCACTTAGAAGTACTAGCCTTCCCGACCCCAGCGGCGGATCTGGTCTATGGCTCCGCCGCCAACCAAGATTCGGCTGCGGAGGATAGGGAGAGCGGCGCCTCGCAATACCGACAATCCTCTCCCCCCGCAGCCCCATCACCACCGCATCAACGGTGCGGCCCCGTTTGAGTCGCGGAGGATAGGGCGAGTGGCGCATCGCCATACCAACACTCCTCTTCCTCCGCGACTCCACCTCGGCTGCAGCGGTAGGTGGGGAGGACACACCTCTCACCGCAGTCCACCAACACACATCCGAAGTGGGCTTCCCAAGCCCTCTCGGAGTGGCCACCTCGGGCCGGCCCTCCACCTCGGACCAGCCATATGGGTTCCTCTTTGTTTCGCCGTGGGTGACCAAGCCACGGCTTCTAAGCCCCCCCGCCACGACAAGGTGGGAACCCGTTCGGGGGGGATTTCATTTCACCTAAGTAACTTAAATAACATTTCGCAATGTATTTTGTTATTCTTGTTTGTTGTTTTGTTGACATCCCTTAGTAACAACGGAAAGTCCGCCGTAACGTATGAATGTGGAAAAAATGCAAAGTAATATGGACACAGCGACACAGCGATAAAGTTTTATTTAGCTTGCGAGCGCGATTTATCTAATTAATAATAATTATGTAGGCTATTAAACGTCGGCAAGCAGTCAGCACCAAAGCACTGCAACTTCTGTACGGTGTACTATTATTTATTCTGTGGCCAAGACAATTCGGCTAAGTAGTCAAGATATACTACTAAATATATGTGTCTACATAGTACTCAAGTTATAAGTATTTTTTCAGCTTCTACCTCTCATCGCACCGACGTGCGCTCACCAAGTTCTTGGAGTGCGTAAACTGGAACCGACCCGGTGAGTTTTAATATTAATTTTATTAACATTATAATTTCTTTTATTTTTACTTTTGTTTTAATATGTTATCTGTTATATAATAAATATGATATAATAAATATGATATAATATTTTAGCGGAAGTGCGACAAGCATTGGCGATGATGAAGCAATGGGCACCAATGGACGTGGAAGATGCACTGGAACTCTTAACGCCCAAGTTCACACATCAAGCAGTTAGAAGGTAACCTGCATCATGATCATATGACCGAATAGGACAGAATTCCAGTCAGTTAATAGTCTTCTTTCTCCTTCTTTATCGATTTTTTAATTTCATAGCTAGAAATAGGTATTTCCAAGAATATATTCGTTTGATAATTTCGAAGATTTTGTTCATACTCTGCACCGCTGGCCTGGCGGATTAGAGAGCGCAGAGCCGATATCCTCGCCCTGGTGATACTTCCCATCACCAGCATTTTAAATATGAGTTCTGATCCAGATTCTACCCACTACATGTAGAATAATTTTTATTTATTTTATTTAATCTTTATTGGTAACAAAGGGATGCCTACCGGCATTCTCTACCAGTCAATGCGTTGTAAAGTAAAGTAAAGTTACAGCCTATATACGTACATCCACTGCTAGGCACTGGCCTCCCCTCATTTCTGAGAGGGTTTTAGGGCAAGGAAGTGTCCGCCGCGCTGTCCCAATGCGTGTTGGCGAACTTCACATGTCTTCAAAATATTTTTTTTTCTTATTCCTCAGACATGCAGGTTTCCTCACGATATTTTCATTCACCGGCGAGCACGTGGTAAATCAGCACTTAAAATTGCAATTAACAATTTCATTGGTGCCGGCGAGAATCGAACCCGGGTTACTCGCGTTCTGTTAAATTTACAGCGAGCGTTAACCATCAGAGCTATCACGGCTCTTGAGCCAAGCTCAATGCGTAGAGCGATGAGAATAATATTTCCATGTGGAAAGAAATAAATTAATTATCTACGATACTCGAAATGGGTAATCCTCTGATAATCGTCTAATAAAAATGGTTATTACGCTATTTTTTAAGAAATATTTTCCTTACTGTCCTAGCACCATTTATAAAACAGCTTATTGGCAAGTGGATTTTTTTCGACTTCGTTGCACGTCAGTTACATAATGTTGATTATTTTTCAAACATGGCCGACATAACTGCAAGTTATTACATAACACTAGCGCATATTTCGTACAAAGATGGTTTGGAGTTTAACCTGTTTGCTGTTCTTTCTGAGCTAGCGGGTTAAAAAAAATGAACTTTGTCATGAACAGGTACGCCATCTCACGGCTGAAACAAGCACCGGACGAGGATTTACTACTCTACCTGTTGCAACTTGTACAAGCTCTGAAATACGAAGACTTCAACGAAATTCATAATGGTACGAACACATAAAGAGAAAGACGATCTAAATAATGAAAATTTCATAGTGAATAGTGAATAATTATCTATCTGTTCAATGTTGGTCTGAGACCCAGGTCATATTTTAATGAGGGACTTGTAACAAAGAAAAATGTGTCACTGGGCTTCTTGCCTAGGGCATCATGTCGTTAAAGGTGACTAAAGTAAGGTGACTGGGGTGGAACTCGATGCTTCTGGTTGTGTATGCGATGGGCAAGCACCATATTACTTCTTTCACAGTTTTCCATTTATATATAAGGTCGGGGAAAAGTTACTTCGTATTTCATATACAAATTCATGACCTTTCAAGACATTTTTTTTTTCAAAGTTTAGTTACATCTCATTATAATATATATGTCATTTTGTTTGATAATTTCTTGCCATATAGGTGATAGTGACATATTCCCGTTGCTGTTATAAATCTTGGGATTTTTGATCAATAAATAAATAAAATAAAAAATAAAATTAAAAAAGCCTTTTATTCCATGCTAAATAAGTTTTACAATATAACTTTTTTACAATAGAATTTGCATTTTATAAAGGAAATTGAAAGTATAAATTTAGTTTTTTTAAATACATTAATTTATATCAATTTTTTTGTAGATTTTAATGCATTAATTTATAATTTTTTTTTAGATTTTAATACAATAATTTAATTTTAATTTAATTTTATACATTAATTTATTTCTATATTAATGAATGAATTTGATTGAGGTAATAATTAATTTATAAAACTAAATATTCATAATTTTGGGTATGCTAACTATTTTTCATTATATTTGGTTAACATTTGAATGTGCATTACTAATAACATTAATATTTTCTTCAATCTATCTAATTGATGTATAAATTTTAAGTGACTATTTTAAATCGATTTGGTTTTTTTATAACATTATGAATATGATAACATTAATTTAAATTAGTTGTAAATTGACAAAATATTTTAATTTATAATTTATTAAGGATCTATATACTCATTTGTGTTTGTTTGCTTTGCATGGACCCCCTTAGCTGAAGGCCTTTTTTTTCCTCCAAAGATTTCCATTTGTCTCTATTTTTTGCTATTTGTGTCCAACTTGGTCCCGCGATCTTTTTAATGTCATCTTCCCAGCGCATGTATGGTCTGCCTGGGCGTCTTTTTTTCCTGGAGGGCCATTCCATGTGGTTACAATGGAAGTCCACCTCTTATCTTCTAGACGTGCTACATGGCCGGCCCATCGAAATTTTAACTTTTGAGCATAACTCAGAGCATCAATAGCATTTGTGATATTTCTTATTTTTGTATGTCGTACTTTATATGTTTTTCTTATTTTTAGCATACTACGCTCCAAGATTCTCTGGCATGTCGTTATTTTGTTTTTAACTTTTCTAAAATTTCGATGACTGGCAAGCGTATGTTAAGCAGGGAAGTATACACGAGTCCGTAATTTTTTTTTTAATACCGGCATGTTACTCTTTAATATTTCCTTATATGACCAGAATTTATTCCAAGTTATTTTTGACCTTCGTTCTACTTCTAGCTCGTTGTTATTGTTTTTAAACCCTATTTGCTTTCCGAGGTAGATATATTGTTCCACATAATCTAGCGGTTTATTTTCAATAATAACGTTTTTTCTTGAGCTATTTGTCATGATTCTTGTTTTTGATAAATTTATTTCTAAGCCTACTTTTATGCTTCCTGTGTGGAGAGTGTCTGTCATGTATTGTAACATTCCACTATTTTTAGATAATAAAACCAGGTCGTCTGCGAATCTTAAGTGACTCAAGTACTTTATTTAGGTCACATGACTTCCATTTCAATTGACTTATGACACATTCCACTGCTATAAAATTTTTTGGAGACAAAGGATCTCCTTGTCTGACTCCCCTTTTGATAGGAAAGCTTGGACCAGTTGATTCCCCAATTTGACTCTGCTTTGCTTGCTCTATATATTTTTTTGATTACTTCAATCTACTCTTTACCTACTTCTTGTGTTAAGGCTTCCCAGATACTTGAGTGTGAGATTGTGTCAAATGCTTTTCGGTAGTCGATAAAGGCTATGTACAGTGGTCGTTTATTTTCTTGGTATTTTTCGATGACAAGTTCTAGGGTGTATATATGGTCTACCGTTGAGAAACATTTCCGGAAGCCAGCTTGCTCTACAGGTTGTTTTCTTTCCAAAGTTTTGCTTATTCTGCATTCTATAACCGAAGAGAATAGTTTATATAGAGTTGGTAGAAGACTGATGGGCCTGTAGTTTCCGATGTCATTTGGATCCCCTTTTTTATATAAAAGTATTATATCAGATTCTGACCATTGCGAAGGTGTATTTGCAGACTCTAGTATCATGTTAAACATATTTGCAAGTAGTGTAGCTAGAAACATGCTGCCGTATTTTAAGGCTTCATTGGTGATGTTATCGAACGCTGGGCTTTTTTCTAGTTTTAGTTTCTTTATCGCTTGTATGACTTCAAACTCGTTAATAACCTCTGTCTTCCTGTCTTCTCTTCGGATTCTACGTAGGTAATGTCTTCTTTGTTGTTTTCTGTCCATTGTTCGGTATTGTACAAGTTTCGTTAATAGTCTGTAGCAATATTAATAATATCTTTGCGGTTGTGTGATGTTTTTTCAAGCTGTTTCAGTCTTTTCCCTTTTTGTGATAAAACTTCAGTATGTATCTAATTTCTTCGTTAGATTCACTCGTTTTGGCGGACAGAAAAACAATTGAAAATGGCGGGGAAGTGTTTTTTACTTTTTATTTTTCTTTTTCTTCATGTTTTATATGTATTGATATTAAAACCAGCCAAATACAAACAGTACAACCAAAGGGATTTTTCTTTAAGTTTATACAAACAAAATACGAACAAACTTTTCCCCCGGCCTATTACTAACCTATTATTTTTACATTTTTAAACAAAATTATAACTTACAATTAGTTATCAAATGAAAAACCTAAGTCAGTAATTTATTCTTGCGGCAATGTGTAGCGGTACACAACTCATACAGTAACTCAACAGTTAACAACAAAACCCTAGAAAATATACAAAACTCTTCAAAGTTCAATAAAGTTTATTAAAACATAGATTGTATAAAATGGTTAAGGAATTTATGCATAATAATTACCCCTGGAAATAAGGTGCCAGCTAGTTTTAATTTGTTTTGTGTTTTTTTAATTGTGTAAAGGCGACCCCCCACTAGGTGGAGGGACGACCTGGTAAGTCATGCAGGAAGTCAATCGATGCAGTTGGCTAAGGAACATACTTTGTGGCATTCCTTGGGAGAGGCATATGTTTAGCAGTGAACTTTTAAAGGGCTGGAATGATGATGATGATGAATTGTGTAATATAAAATGTTCTTGGTGGTTCTTCCCGAGAGAGAGATATTTTCTGAACCAGTGGTAAATTAAACCTAAGAATAACTTTCAATAAGTATTATTTATATTCTGCATAATATGTTAAATTAAAAAAATGTTTTTTACTAACGGTAAGGGTGGACTAAATTGTAGCCACAGTTTTTTCTATAGAATACTATAAATATAATACACAATAGAATGGCTGTCAAACTTATTTTGTTCGAGAGTCGGCGTCGCCAGGAGCACACATAAAAGCAATAACGTCGTATTATCACTACTACAAACCCGATTCGCTGTGTTGACAGACAGAGTAAATTTACACATTTTAGACTTATGATTAATGTTCAAAATCATCATTAAAAAATCGTTTAAATTTTAATACATGTTTATATGTAAATCGTGTGCAATTTGGTATTTTCTAAATAATTTGCATGCGAAATTTGGAAACGATTGTTACGTCAAAACACATCTCGTGTTGACATTTATACGTGTGAATTGACATGTTAGTGACATTTTAGTGGCTACACGGGCTTCGCCCACTCCCTCGTTCTATTATGTATGTATTATAGTATGGTTCTATGGTTTTTTCTTGTTGTATTTTCAGAATATGCGCGTGTTTGCGGAAAGGACGCGCCGATATTTTCTGACTCCGAAGGGAAGCTGATGCAGAGCACGCACAGAGGCAGCCAGGCTAGCTTACTGTCCGCATCAGGTAATAATATAGGACTACGATTCGGATTCATGACACAGAGCCGTGGTAGCTCAGATGGTTAACGCTCGCTGTAAATATAATAGAACGCGAGTAACCCGGGTTCGATCCCCGCCGGCACCAGTGAAATTTTTAATTGCAATTTTAAGTGCTGATTTACCAGTGGTGAAGGAAAACATCGTGAGGAAACCTGCATGTCTGAGGAATAAGAAAAAAATATTTCGAAGACATGTGAAGTTCGTCAACACGCATTGGGGCAACGTGGCGGACACTTCCTTGCCCTAAAACCCTCTCAGAAATGGGGGGAGGCCTGTGCCCAGCTGTGGGACACGTATATGTATTATTGGCTATAAATTTAACGATTCGGACTCAATACGGGAGGAGGAAGGAAAACAGGATTTCGAAATTTACAGTAACTTACATACTTTTAATGATTTTTTATTCACAGTACTCACAAATAGTGAAATGACAGCGTCGATAACAAGTAGACAGTCGATAGAAACCACTACTGAAGAGACACCAGCGACCCACGAAGATGCCTTCAAGTACGTATCTCAAAAAAATCATGATAATGTACATTGCGTAGACAGCGAAACCTATAGACAAATTGACGCCTTCTTTCGCGTTCGCACACGAAAAAGATAGATTTATGCTTTGACTTCTTACATCTTGCATAGAAATGAGATAGAGCGGTGTGATTGTTAGTCCCTTTCTCCGTGCCGGTTTTTTGTTTAGCAAACTACGCTTTGCTAAACAACTTTGACAGTTCGTAGCGATCTAAGGAGTTTACAAGTTGGTTTAAGTGAGAAAAAAGTGTTTTGTGAGCTTAAGATTGGTGAATCTTGTTCAGTTCAGTTCTGAGAATAATTAAAATTTTTATCTAAATATGTTTAAAAGTCATAAAGATATATGTATAACCTAAAACTACGCTATCGTCCTTTCTCACTCGAGGCCACGTTAGTCTAGGTTAGTATAGGTTTCTCTGTCTACGGTACATTGGTTATTATTATCAGTTATAGACTGAAATCATTCTGTAAGCCTCGTTAAATTCCTAGCTGAAATTACAATGTATGTTGACAGTTTTTGAAATATTTTTATAACATCTGTAATGCAGAATTTTTCACTATATTCTCTTTTTGTAAATGCACCTAACACATAATATTCAAGTTGAGTTTGGGTTACTTCGTTCGGTATCATTTATAAGAATATTTTGTCGAAAGATAAAAAATTTAGTTGGAGTTCTTTACTAAGAAAACCTATGAGTCTTGGCTTTCATCGAACCACTATGAATAAATAATTATATTTGATAATATTGGTCGTTTTTCAATAAGTATTTAAAAATATACAAAAGCAAGGTGATAATTTGACTACAAAAACTCTGACTCCATTGCTCATGCAATTTCTTTACAAATGTACATTATGTGAAAAAAAAAAGAATTTCAATTGTCTAGAGAACGAAATACCCAAGAGTACATAAGTTATTGAGGTTTCGCATTGATTCAAGTAAGACAATTTCAATTTTTGAAAAACAGTTGGCGTATTTCTTAGGGCTAGTACTTAAGAATTTTTTTAATTCAATTTATTATTCTTTTCTTTTGTTAAAAAGGTTTAACCTCCATACTTGCAATTTCATCTGTATGTGTGTAAAATATGTATGTAAGTAAAACGCCTCTTACTTACATACATATTTTTATAGCATTGGGTGACAAACGAGCACACAGTCCACCTGATGAGAAGTGAATGCTGTGGCTCGTAGACATCCACATTTACCCCCAACTAAGGATCAAAATGCAAATGCGTTCACCCCTGAGGACTAAGATGGAATGCCTCGATGTCAGTAAAAAGGGTCTCTGGTTCTCTACACGATGATACGAAACACAGCACCATTACGCTGCTATTTTACGCTGGTATTTTGTGCGAGCGTGGTCCTGCTCCGGTTGAGCCGACCTTTTCGTGCTACAACTATAATATAGCTGCAGCGTGGCTCTGCCACGTAATGTTGATAAAATAAGTGTTATTTATATGTGGTATAGCCACGTTGTAGCTGCATAATTGTATCACCAATGGATCTGCACGGCCGGGACCACGCTCTCATACGCATAGTGCGTTTAGAAAATTGGAGGCACATTTAACTGAAAACGAGACATTCCATCTTAGTCCTCAGGGGTGACAACCCATCTGTATTTTGATTCTTAATCTTTAATGTAATAATTTAATGTAATAAGCCGGTGTACAGAAATCGAGACCCTTATTTATGCATTTCGATTCTTAGTCAAAGATAGATGTCTATGGACTACAGCATCCACTTACCATCAAGTGTGCCCGATTGTCTCCCTTATTTTTAAAAAAAATAGTACGGTGGAGGAGGCGAGCGAGGAAAGCTTGACTCTGGCTGGGTTCCTGATCGAGCGGGCCTGCAACAACAGCGTGGTGGCCAACTACCTGTACTGGTACCTGCTCATCGAGTGCGAGGACACGGACGCTCCCCGCCAGCCTCCAAGGCACATGTACCTCAGCGTCATGAAGACTTTCTCGCAGAAGCTGGCCAAAGGTCACTTTCTTATCCTAAATTTATACCTTTCTTAATATTGTCATATGATTTTTACTATACTACTATTATTACAGCCTATGAAAGTCCACTTGCTGATCATATCCATCATCGATTGTCTTGCAGAACATCAATTAACAACAAAAAAACTTGATTGAAAAAAAAATTATAACAACCATAAGGCCACCAACTGACTCGCCATAATGCTACAGTAACAGAGTTACCGCAGCGCTGATATTCTGTCGGAGCCACACAAGTCGAGTCAAGAGAAATCGCTGGACATAATTTAGTACTTTATAACTTAGTATTTTATAACTTATAATCACTAAGAACTTAAGCAAAGTGATATTAAAAACTAATGGTTATATGTATTAACTATCACATGTACAATTAAACAAGCTAGCTTACTCTATGCTACGTTCCTGTACGCATAGCGTATAGGTATTTTAATTTATCATGGAAGGAATATTTGCCATAGCTGCCACGTGTGGCAGACGCTTTAGTAACCGCAAGTTTTTTTAATTATTCTAAGCCAGCGCTTAACTACAATCCCGCCTGACGGTAAGTGGTGATGTAGCTTAGGATGGTACAGCGCACTGACTTAACAAAAACCTATTCACTCTTGCCTTGAAGACACCCTCACCGTAATCGGATGGAAAGACAGATGCTGGCAACTTATTGCACTCCTCGTTATGTAGTTAGTTATTAGTTTTGTTTATATTTTAATTTTTATTAGAAAAACACTGCTGCCCATCTCCTAGTTTGTTTTTCTCTGTCGCCTCTTACGATACGGGGTAGATCTTTCAATTTATACATGGTAAAGCCATGCTGCAGCAGCATATGTTATTACCGTCTGGAAAAAAATAAGTTGTAACAGGTGAACTGAATAGAAAGAAGCCTACGGCACTGATATTTTACAATTTCTTTTATTTTACATTATATACTACTAACTTGAAATAAACTTTCAGTACTAAAATAAATAAAAAAAATAAAAATTTTGAACTAAATAAATAAATCAATTAAAAACTATCGAAATTAAAATACGTGCGTATACCCAATTAGTAGTATTTAATATTAATGTAAAAAAAAGTAAAATATCTGTACCATAGGCTTCTATTTCATTCACCTGTTACACCTTATTTTTGTCCAGACGGTAAAAAAAATATCCAGTATATTATATAGTTATATCACGAATGGGCGTACTTGATCGGGGAAAGGCCACACTCTCACAGAATACCAGCGTAAAATAGTTGCTTAACAGTGATGTGTTTCGTATGGTGAGTGTAGACTCTTTTTACTGGAAAAAAGCATTTTACCTTAGCCCTCAGGAATGACAACGCCTCGGCATTTTGATTCTTAATTGAGGATAGATGTAGTTGTCTATGGGCCACAGCATCCACTTAATGACAACACCTCGGCATTTTGATTCTTAATTGAGGATAGATGTAGTTGTCTATGGGCCACAGCATCCACTTAATGACAACACCTCGGCATTTTGATTCTTAATTGAGGATAGATGTAGTTGTCTATGGGCCACAGCATCCACTTAATGACAACACCTCGGCATTTTGTTCTTAATTGAGGATAGATGTAGTTGTCTATGGGCCACAGCATTCACTTAATGACAACACCTCGGCATTTTGATTCTTAATTGAGGATAGATGTAGTTGTCTATGGGCCACAGCATCCACTTAATGACAACACCTCGGCATTTTGATTTTTAATTGAGGATAGATGTAGTTGTCTATGGGCCACAGCATCCACTTAATGACAACACCTCGGCATTTTGATTCTTAATTGCGGATAGATGTAGTTGTCTATGAGCCACAGCATCCACTTAATGACAACACCTCGGCATTTTGATTTTTAATTGAGGATAGATGTAGTTGTCTATGGGCCACAGAATCCACTTAATGACAACACCTCGGCATTTTGATTCTTAATTGAGGATAGATGTAGTTGTCTATGGGCCACAGCATCCACTTAATGACAACACCTCGGCATTTTGATTCTTAATTGAGGATAGATGTAGTTGTCTATGGGCCACAGCATCCACTTAATGACAACACCTCGGCATTTTGATTCTTAATTGAGGATAGATGTAGTTGTCTATGGGCCACAGCATCCACTTAATGACAACACCTCGGCATTTTGATTCTTAATTGAGGATAGATGTAGTTGTCTATGGGCCACAGCATCCACTTAATGACAACACCTCGGCATTTTGTTCTTAATTGAGGATAGATGTAGTTGTCTATGGGCCACAGCATTCACTTAATGACAACACTTCGGCATTTTGATTCTTAATTGAGGATAGATGTAGTTGTCTATGGGCCACAGCATCCACTTAATGACAACACCTCGGCATTTTGATTTTTAATTGAGGATAGATGTAGTTGTCTATGGGCCACAGAATTCACTTAATGACAACACCTCGGCATTTTGATTCTTAATTGCGGATAGATGTAGTTGTCTATGGGCCACAGCATCCACTTAATGACAACACCTCGGCATTTTGATTCTTAATTGCGGATAGATGTAGTTGTCTATGGGCCACAGCATCCACTTAATGACAACACCTCGGCATTTTGATTCTTAATTGAGGATAGATGTAGTTGTCTATGGGCCACAGCATCCACTTAATGACAACACCTCGGCATTTTGATTTTTAATTGAGGATAGATGTAGTTGTCTATGGGCCACAGAATCCACTTAATGACAACACCTCGGCATTTTGATTCTTAATTGAGGATAGATGTAGTTGTCTATGGGCCACAGCATCCACTTAATGACAACACCTCGGCATTTTGATTTTTAATTGAGGATAGATGTAGTTGTCTATGGGCCACAGAATCCACTTAATGACAACACCTCGGCATTTTGATTTTTAATTGAGGATAGATGTAGTCTATGGGCCACAGCATCCACTTAATGACAACACCTCGGCATTTTGATTTTTAATTGAGGATAGATGTAGTTGTCTATGGGCCACAGAATCCACTTAATGACAACACCTCGGCATTTTGATTTTTAATTGAGGATAGATGTAGTTGTCTATGGGCCACAGAATCCACTTAATGACAACACCTCGGCATTTTGATTTTTAATTGAGGATAGATGTAGTTGTCTATGGGCCACAGCATTCACTTAATGACAACACCTCGGCATTTTGATTTTTAATTGAGGATAGATGTAGTTGTCTATGGGCCACAGAATCCACTTAATGACAACACCTCGGCATTTTGATTCTTAATTGCGGATAGATGTAGTTGTCTATGGGCCACAGCATCCACTTAATGACAACACCTCGGCATTTTGATTCTTAATTGCGGATAGATGTAGTTGTCTATGGGCCACAGCATCCACTTAATGACAACACCTCGGCATTTTGATTTTTAATTGAGGATAGATGTAGTTGTCTATGGGCCACAGCATTCACTTACTATCAGATGGACTGTGGTCACGTTTGTCACCCTTATTCTATAAAATAAAATAAAATAACAAATCAATATTTTCCAAGCAGGCAATGCAGACCACCAACGAACTCGTTCTTTCCTGGCCAGACAACAGGTGTTCATCGACAAACTAGTGAAGCTAGTTAAAACGGTCGCACGTGAGAGCGGAAACCGTAACAAGAAGGCCGAGCGTCTGCAACAACTGCTGGCCGATCCGGACGCGTTCAAATTCAACTTCATGAATTTCGAACCGATGCCCTTCCCTCTGGATCCCAACGTGACCATTAAAGGCATTGTCGCCAAGAAGGCAAGCCTGTTCAAGTCGGCTTTGATGCCGTCGAAATTAACCTTCCTGACCACTGAGGGCATGGAGTATGAGGCGATATTCAAACATGGCGACGATTTAAGACAGGACCAATTGATATTGCAGATGATCACGCTGATGGATAAACTGTTGCGGAGGTACGTGCGTAGATTTATCATTTTTTTTACAATGCATCCAAGACTTTTGATACGGCTTGCTACTTAGGAATGAGGTGAAATATTCGATAGAATTTATGGCTGGGAAGTTAATTTAATAGGAAAACGTAAGAGTTAATGTTTCTTTCTGAAATATTAGTTATATTTTATATTAATTATATTATAAACCAGACTGCGGATATGTCTAAAAAAAAAATTTCCTTAAAAAAAACATGCGAACAGCTCACACGCGACAGAAGTGAAACCTTTAAATGAAATGAAATATAAAATACAAATACTTTAAATGATTTATTTAATATTATAATTTAAACTACAAGTTCGGCATAATTTTAATTTTATAGTAAACAAATGTAACAATCCTATATATGTATATATGTATATCAGACACAGATATTACTCTTTCCGATATACCTTATATAGTACTCACTAATTACAAAAAGATTTACATCAATTTAACTATTACGAAGTTGAGGTTTGGCCGTTCTTCAGCGCTTGTTTAATTCATAGGCACACGACACCTTCGTACATTATTGAACAAAACGCGTAAGCGACGCCGTTTCGGCGGCATTTACGACTTTTTTCTCGCGAGCATTGTTGCAATTGAGCAATGTTCTTACACCGAGATCGGAAACGATTGTGCCGGTTAGTCTTCCTCGAAACCCTGGGCAAGCTCACCGTTGTGTACTTGTGGAAAGGGTAAACAATGACCTTCCATGGAAAGTAGCTCGAACCTTGGTCAGAACCACTGACATCTCAGGAGTACGTGTGCTGAATCATTGTGACCAGTAACAGATTATAGAAAAAGGCCCACTAGTTGGTACTTGTGAGGAAGTGGATTGGTTACGTCGATGCCAATATCTATCGAGTGGGACCCTCAGCAAGGGTGCACAAACGAGAGTGACCACACTTTTAGAAGACTGTCGTAGCGTTCTCTCCCTGAATGAAATGGTCAAGGCGAAGAAGTTGTTACTCAAATACGCCGATGTATTCTCGCCAAACGATGCTGACATGGGGAAGACCGGTTTAGTTCAACACAAAATAAACACAGGTGAAGAATTGCCTATCCGCCAACGACCAAGACGATTGCCGGTAGCACGTGAAAAAGAAGTGGAAACCATGATTGAAGGAATGGTGGAGGATGGTGTTATTGAACCTTCCTCTAGTCCATGGTGTTCACCCGTGGTGCTGGTAAAGAAGGATGGCAGCATGCGGTTTTAGGTTGACTATCGCCGTCTAAACGACGTTACGAAGAAGGACATCTATCCCTTGCCAAGAATTGATGACACGCTGGACATGCTTACAGGAGAAAAGTGGTTTAGCACGCTGGATCTAAAAAGTGGCTACTGGCAAGTTGAAATTGACCCTAAGGGCAAGGAGAAAACCGTGTTCTCGACGGGAAAGGGTCTGTGGCAATTTAAAGTAATGCCGTTTGGATTGTGCAATGCTCTAGCAACGTTTGAAAGGCTGATGGAGCTTGTACTTACCGGGCTAATTGGCGATGCCTGTCTGGTCTACTTGGATGACATCATCATCGTGGGCCGTACGTTTGAGGAACACCTTCAAATCCTGGAACGCGTGCTCATGAAGATTCGGAGTGCCAACCTCAAGTTGAGTCCGAAGAAATGTTCACTATTCAAATGGCAAGTCAACTTTTGGGGTATGTAGTGTCGGAAGAAGGTATCCGCACGGATCCGGAGGAAATCGCCGCTGTCAAGGATTGGCCGGTTCCAAAAGACAAGACGCAGGTTAGAGCATTTTTGGGTTTATGCTCCTATTATCGGCGATTTGTGAAGAACTTTGCAGATATAGCCAAACCTCTGCACAAGCTAACCGAGGAAAAGAGACATTTCTGCTGGGATGAAAGTTGCAATACCGCATTCTAGGAGCTCAAGGACCGTCTGTGCAAAACACCTATTTTGGGATACCCTGATGCAAGCAAAGAATTTATATTTTACACGGACGCAAGTGATATAGGACTTGGCGGTGTGTTGTCTCAACGGAATGGTGACCAAGAGGTCGTGATAGCGTACTTCAGCAAGTCGTTGTCAAAACCGGAAAGCTACTATATACTACTAAACTATTGTGTCACAAGACGCGAATTGCTAGCTGTGGTAAAGTCTTTGCAGCATTTTAGCAAATATATTCTTGGGCCGAAATTTCACTTACGAACTGATCATGCTGCAGTAAAATGGCTATTGCAGTTTAAAAATCCAGAAGTACAAGTTGCGAGGTGGATTGAACTACTGCAGGAATACGACTTTGAGATCGAACATCGCAGCGGGAAATCTCATGGCAACGCAGATGCATTGTCAAGAAAACCTTGTCCTGAAGATTGCAAACATTGTACTAGGCAAGAGAGTAAGGAAGTGGTATCCGTGAGGATGCTCAGGACAGACCACCTCAGCAACGAGTGAAAGAACAACATGCACAGCAGGAAGATCCGGACATCAAGCCGATTCTGCAATGGATGAAGGCCAGTGCTCCCAAGCCCAAGTGGAGCGACGTCTCAGCGATGAGTTCGACCACTAAAAGCTATTGTGCCCAATGGGACAGCTTGCTGCTTCAGGATGGAGTTCTGTGCCGTAAATGGGAAAATGTTCGGGGAGACAGCTGTCATTTGCAAATGGTTGTCCCTAAAGCTAAAGTACCGGATGTTCTACAGCTGTACCATAATGATTGTTTGGGAGGCCATCTGGGAGTTAAACGAACTCTATTGAAGATCCGAGAACGGTTTTACTGAGTCCACTGTCGAAACGATGTCGAGTACTGGTGTCGCAAATGTACAAGTTGTGCTGCTGTAAAGGAACCTCAGACTCGTAGTAGAGGTGCATTGAAGTTGTACAATGTTGGTGCACCATCGGAGAGAATAGCCGTTGACGTGGCGGGGCCGTTTCCGGAGTGTGAAAGCGGTAACAAGTATTTCATGGTTGTGATGGATTACTTCACTAAGTGGCCAGAAGTCTTCGCCATTCCAAATCAAGAAGCTTCAACAGTTGCATATAAACTAGTTCATGAAGTCTTCTGTCGTTTTGGAGTACCTTTAGAGATTCACAGCGATCAAGGAAGGAATTTTGAGTCTCAAATATTCCAGGAAACTTGCCGAGTTGTGGGTACTCATAAAACAAGAATGACTTCTTGTCACCCGCAATCTGATGGAATGGTAGAACGATTTAATCAAACATTGGAGAGGTACCTAGCAAAAGTTGTAGACAACCAGCAACGAGATTGGGACAAGCACATACAACCGCTTTTGTTGTCATATCGAAGCGCTGTTCACAAAAGTACATTAGTGACACCAGCTTTCGCAAACTTTGGAAGAGAATTACGGCTGCCTGCAGACCTGATCACCGGGATACCGCCTGATACCCAACGCAGTATAAACGATTATGCAAATGACTTGCGGAACAAAATGAATGACATTTATGAGCACGTCAGACAATCGGGCCAGCAAATGTCTGAAAAAATGAAAACCCGGTATGACCGCAAAATGAACAACAAAGGGTTCGACGAAGGTTCACTAGTATGGTGGCACAATCCAGTCCGTAGCAAAGGGAAATCTCCTAAGCTTCAAGCTAAATGGGACGGCCCGTACCGGATTGTGACCAGGATCAACGATGTAACCTACCGGATACAGAAAGGCGCAAGAGGGACTCCTAAGATCGTCCATGTGGATCGCCTGGCGCGTTATTATGGGGCCGATAATGTTCGGGACGAGCATGTCTTAGGAGGGGGCAGTGTTGCGCGCCTAAGTTGACGGCTGGTACCTTGCTCTAGCGCCATCTAGTGTCGGGTAACAGAGCTTTCCAGAAAACGACATGACTAATCTTTCAACCAACAGCGCCATCTAGTATTGAATTAAAGAACTAAGCTTTCTAGAAGCCCCACACTCGAACTTTCTGCGCCTGGTCGGTCGGGGCCACTTATTTACTGGAATATTCTGGATGTTTTGTGGAAGAGCCCTATATAAAGCCGTCGATAGCCGCGATCGGGGCAGTATTGAATTTGGCGAGACAAGCGAAGCTTCGGAGCGAAATAAAGTGAATCAGTGTGATTAATTATTAGTGTTTTAAGTTTAATTGGTGTTCGGTAATAAAAGTGTAAATTTTGGTAACTCAATCGGCAGTTTTTATTGTAACGAACCTCAAGCTCGTAACGATAGTAACGTCGAAAGCTGCTGTTAATTCAGACGTAGATTGAGTCACCCTTATTTGCGGCCACTTTAACATATGCAGACGTATTCCATCGTGTTCAAAAAAAATGTTATAGTTTCATATACAGAGTGACGAGAAGATATCACATTAAATGAAAAGACATATCCTAATTAACGTTCTTTAAACATACATAATTAAAATGTAACCATCCTACGCCCAGTAATATTTTTTTTTCGATTTAATATTAAACAACATCATGTAAATGCATATATTTATCACCTGACGAATACTAAAAGGTCAAAGACCCATGGCCGGCAAAGGCGAATTATAGTTCAAACGTTGCCAATCCGAATAACTCAAATAAAGAAAAAGGATCAAGCAAAAAATGTACTTAAGCCAAATGATTTAAGACTTAATTTTTATGCGCCAAATTAAAAACAAAGGGACTACGCGCTGATAAGTTTCTCGATTTGATTACGTTAATAGGATAATAATAGATGCGAAATTGGACGCTTACTTTTATTATTTCGTATTTTTTTTTTGTTTGTGATGGGACACGTTAATAATACGCTAGATAAAAATCATATTTAATAACTTAGTGAAGTGGTGTGACATTTACTTTTTTAACGTTTTAACTTTTTCTAAGTTTTTGAGATACCTTGTATCAATTTCACGTCGTCGGAATAAACCGACATGATTTTGATTTTCGGAGAATGCCACCAAAACGCGGCTCTAGCATTAAATAACATTTAATTATTAAATTTGATTTGATGTAGTTATTAAACTTTAGTGATTACAAGATTAGAGTGATTATTTGGATAAAACAATATCATAAAGTTTATGATTTGTTGATAATATCGCATTAGCATCGCCCTTCGCGTGCCTAATTCCTATTACGGGCAAGTGTAGGTATCGCTGCGCCGTTGCCCGTTTTTACAGGTCACTTCAGGTCAATAAACTCATATTATCCAGGATGATTTATTTCGTGTAATATTTTAAGCTATTTATTTTGTTTGAAAAATGCACTTTTTTATTTTTTATATTATTGTTTATTTTATTATTTCAACAGACGTATATCAACTTGCATTTACTGCTGCGCTATAAAATGTGATAACTTAATCCCCACCCAGTATAAATAAAGAATATACGTCATGGACGTATAACTGTAACAAAGTATTAACATACACCTGGATGCGTAGACGTTGAAGCCAAGTGCGCTACTGCAACCAAACCTGCAAGTTCTTTACATATATTCCTGTGAAGTGGTAAATAATTTATTTAAAAAACAAGTGAATTTTAAAAATATATATATAATTAATATTATTTTTTTATCTATATATTTACGCGAAAACACTACACATTGAAATAATACTAAATTTTACGGATCCATCTTAACTCTATAAATACTAAAATTCAGTTCACAATGGAGTTAGAGGCAAACAATTCCTTAGCTTTTCTAGATGTGTTAGTAATTCGGAATCCTGATAACACCTTGAGCCATACTGTGTATAGAAAAAAGACCCATACAGATAGATATTTAAACGGTGATTCTCGCCACCATCCTTCACAGTTAGCTACCGTGGGTAAATCTTTGTTTCAGAGAGCACGAGGGATCTGTGACAGTAAACACCTGGCTGCCGAGCTCCAACATGTCAAGCAAGTTTTGCATGACAACAAGCTTCGGGTCCCGCGCCTACGTCACAGAGAACGAGTGAAGCCGGCCACAGTCGAGCGTGTACCTGCTGTACTGCCATATGTTAGAGGAGTCACTGACAAGATTGGCTACATCTTGAAGCGCGCTTCCATCAAAACATACTTCAAGCCGCCGAAGAAGATTGGTCAGTTTTTACCATCAGTCAACAGTAAAAAGTAACGTCCCTCTGCAAGATGCAGGAGTGTACAAGCTTGATTGTGAATGTGGTCTCTCCTACATAGGACAAACAAAAAGATCAATTAAAACCCGCGTCAAAGAACATATAGCTGATGTGAAGAATCGACGCTCCGGGAAGTCTGCAGCCTGTGAACATGTACAGGATCGCCCCCGTCACTACATCAGATTTGATAGACCACAAATCCTCGCTAAAGAACACCGATTCCTTCCAAGGATGATTCGCGAGGCTATTGAAATCAAAAAACATCCTAATTTCAATAGAGAAGATGGCTGGGTGCTACCATCTGCTTGGGATCCTATAATAAATAAAATTAAATCCCAACCCAAGCATACAACTGCAAGACTCCATGATACCATAAGTTCATACTGTGTAGATCGGAACAAAAGTTAAATTTTAATCTATGGTAACCGCGGTTAACTATGACAGCTGGACGTTGAACATCTCAGTCCTTCCCGTGACCATGGGTGCTGTAAAGCTCTCGAAACGTCGGGTAAAAAAGTTAAATATACGCGATAAATTCCGTAAAAATTACGTAGTATTTTAATATTATTTTAATTAAAAATACTTGCGGCCACATTTTAATAGGCACCCTGTCAAAAATGTATTCTTCCACTTATAATATACAGTAAAAGCTCTTTATTCGCGGGGTACTGTGAATGTGGAATAGTAGTTTATAATTTTATATGGGATTATAGGGGTGTGTTCCTAGGTGACGAAATAAAAAAAATTTAAGTTTTTAACCATATTGATTAATTATTATCTTCAGACTTTAGGCAATGGTTTAAAGAATTTTGTAATTTTTTCTTGCTCGGTAGTTTTTAAGAGCTCAATTCAGACTGATATTCAGCAGTCGCATTAGCAATTTCCCCCTTGAAAATAAGACTACGTTCCATAGACGGATCAATTTTCATAGAGAAATCACAAAGGTCATTTGCCATTCCTAAACCTTCAGTAAGATTATTCAAATTAAATGTCACATTTTCAGTGCTTGTTGAAACTCATTTTTCATATTTTTTTGTCAACATTATAATTTAGGAAGACAGCGGTAGAGACGTGTTACTTGATCACAATTATTATTACGAATTTTAAAGATGAAACAATAATACACGCAAAGCGGCTCTTACCGAAGGATGGAACGTCTAATATGTGGCGGCAGCATTGAAAAATATACTTTATGCATTGAGTAATAAAGTTGTTTTCATTCTGTTTGCATCACCGACCGCGGCGAAGACAGCTTATGTCAAAACCTGAACCAATACAGCGGCGGATATCATTTAATAACATACTTTAGGCATAGTTGTAATAAGGTCTATTATACTTTTTTACAAGGGATATTGGATTGGATACCTATTGGAATCCTTTTTATTAATATGTAATATGTACCAATGTACCGATTAGATCCGCGAATAAAGAAATCTTTAGCCGGGAATATAGGAATTTGGTTTTTTGGAATTATTTTTAATCCGCGAATAGTGAAAACGCGAATAAAAGAAGCGGGAATAAGGATCTTTTACTGTATATATAAAATAATATTTTGATTAAAAACTACGTGAACGTAGTAATCTTGCAGCCGATTTTTAGACTAATATGATAATTTTCAACCACAAGGACTGCATAAAATAAAAGTTTAGAGCAAACAAATGTAAGATTTCTTATTTTTATGCACGTAGAACCTAAATTTGATTGTAATAAATCAAAAGAATATTTTCTTTACTCAAACCACAAATACTTCCGTCAGAAGGGGGCAAAGTTTTTTTTTGCAAATAATTCCAAAATGGACTGATGTCTAACATATTATTATATTCTTCCCATATAAAAAAGGGAAATTCCATGTTTTTAAACAACGAAACAGTCATGTTTCTCTTGAGGCAGAGAAAAGGCCTTTCAAGACCCTGTATTACAACATAGTATAAATCACGCCTTCGAATGAATGCATAGGTATATGTATAATTTGTAGGTATAGAACAAACTTCGTACTACCGTATGCACTCGGGGCGTTAGCCATTTCCACGGACATAATTCCTTGCAAAGCTGGAGATATTCTTTTTGACAGTCAAAATATTAATTTCAGAGAGAACCTGGATCTGAAGTTGACTCCGTACAAGGTGCTGGCGACGAGCTCGCGGCACGGCTTCCTGCAGTTCATCGAGTCGGTGACAGTAGCTGAGGCGCTAGCTGCAGAAGGCAGCATCCAGAGCTTTTTGCGTCGCCACAATGCGGCCGAAGGAGCGCCATACGGCATCCGCCCCGAAGCGATGGACACTTACGTGCGGAGCTGCGCCGGCTACTGCGTCATCACCTACCTGCTCGGTATATAAACACACACACACAAAGACGTGCGTACACTTGCACCCGCACTCACAAGTATACACACACGCTAACACACATACACGCGGGCGTTTACACGCACAGATATCTTCACTTCTTACTCGTGACTAGTGATGCCAAACTATCATTAGTTTTGCTATCGATAGTTGATATCGAAACTAATAGCACAACTTGGTTACTAGGGGTGGCTTGCAAAAATATTATTGTATGAATGGTATTAAACTTTGATAGGTTTAATACTTGAATTAACTCATGAATTCTCAATTTATAGGCGTTGGTGACCGTCACCTGGACAATCTGCTGCTTCGTCGTTGTGGCGCGTTGTTCCACATCGACTTCGGCTATATCCTCGGCCGTGATCCCAAGCCGTTGCCGCCGCCCATGAAGCTCAGTCGCGAGATGGTGGAAGCCATGGGTGGAATTCACTCGGAACACTTCCACGAGTTCCGCAAGCTCTGCTACACCGCCTTCCTCCACTTGCGCAGGTAACGCTTGCCTAGGACTGCCAGACGTCCTTTATTTTAACTCTTTGCTTCATAGTGGCCAGTAGAGATAACCACCTATTTAGTCGCTTGTTTTCCGATATAGTGACATATATTGCTTCCAAATTTGAATTAATATGTACGATATAAATGTAAACCATTTGAACAGCGTTAATGGTCAGTGCTTTGACAGATGGACAGATAAGTAAACTTTAAAACGAAAGTTGGTGAAATTTGAATTCATTGTGTCGCAACTGTTTTATTTAATTGGTAAGTAATTATTTACAAATATGAATTATTTATATTCTCTTTTTGTTGAAATAATCTTAATTACGTATAACAAATATAAATATAATAGGCAAACGTAATAGGTTTTCGATAATAACGCATAATTTAAGGTGGTTAGTAATGGTAACCACCATACTATAAAGGTAAAAAAAAAGTTTTCAAAAGTAGATATAAATTGTATTGATTTTATTATTACAGAAAATGGAAAGAAGATGCTTATTGAACTAAGAAATTGAGAATGCCTTATCGGTATATGTTGATATACCTTCCGATGATGGCAGTTATGCCGGTTGCGATAGTTCGGATATCGAAGATGAGATCATCATTGAAGGACAGAATAACAGATGAGAAATTTTTATCGAAGAAGACTTACAAGGTACAGACCTACGTAATTAGGAATTTGACTGCGGAGATGACACACCTCTAGCCATATTATCTTTTTCTCAGCCTTTAGTTCCATCATCATCACCAGAACCACAACCAGGACCATCTACTGCTCAGGTTGAAATACAGGCTCCAAAATGAAAAAAAAATCCTACTTAATTCTACCTGCTGGTGATTTTATCTCCACACATCACATACCTACTAACTTGTCATCTCTAGTCGCTCATAGAGAACTATCTCCACTTAAGATTTTTCGATTATTCTGGACAAAAGAGCTTGTTCAATATATTACATTTCTTACTAATATGTAGAACAAAAAGGAGGACTTTATGAGCCTGTCACAGAAGAAGAAATAAAAGTTTTTATTGCACTTAATTTAGGGATGGGAATAAAAAGAGACCAAGTTACCAAGATTACTGGTCTTCTTCAACCGACTTACGAGACAAGTACATATCACTGACGAAATTTTCCTGGATTCTAGGGAACTTACATATGAATGATAAAATCTTGATTCCTAGTAGGACAGTAGTTTATTGATAAAATTAGAGACTCATTCATAAAAAACTATTACCCTACGAAAAATATTGCAATAGATGAGTCCATGGTGAAATTCAAAGGAAGGAGTTAACTCAGGCAGTATATGCCAAAAAAACCAACGAACACAAAAAGTGCATCTATTGGCCATTGTCTTCACTTTGAAGTATATACTGGAAAAGTTGGGAATATAGTGGAGAAAGATTTAGGAGGCCAAGTTGTTACGAAGTTTTGTGTAGGCCTAGAACACCAGTCGACAGGAGAGTATTGCTTTGAAGATCATCATTAACAGTAATTTTATCTTTTATTGAGTAGTGCTAACAAATTTCGTATTTTTTATGTATGTGTGAAGCATTTATTGTTCCTAAATGTGTAAAACATAATTGTTTGATAATAAAAAAAGACTATATTTAGCTATTTTCCTCACAGTGGTCACCTACGGTAACCACCCTGTATATGACCCCACTACCAATCTGCATATGAAAAACCAAGAAAACTACTTATAACTATCCTTATCTTATTTGATATAAATAAAAATATATGATTTTCTCTGAGAATTAAAAACTGCGCCGCAAAGAGTTAAAGGATCCTATTTCAGACCCAAAAATTTAACATATCTCTTAATTTGAAATCTTTAATAGGAGACAAAGTGCCATAGACGAGTTGGTGCAGCAAAATTCAACATACTAGCTTTGGACTCATTAAAAAAACCTGCTAAGTGGCTTATTGGTGATCCCAATTTGGATAATACAAATCTCACCAGTCTCTAACACAAGCGCAAAGTAGTCTTGTTGTAGCCTTTCTATTATCTACAGAATGCATTTTGGAAAACGTGTGCGGTAATTGCATAACATAATTCCTCCTTCTCCCTTCCACAGTTTCGTTACATACCCCGGGGGGTTTACGTCAGATGTTCCGTTGATGCTGCTGCCTATAGGCAACATCTGACACTATGATAGTCAAGTAAAAAACTTAAAGACACTGCAATGAAGATACTGTTGTTTTTTTATTCTCAGTATATAGTAGAAAGACTTGTTATATTGTATTACTAAGAACGCTATTCAAGTAATTAACTTTACCTTTTTCATACTCTTATTTTTATATTATTACTATATTATATATATATATATATATATATATATATATATATATATATATATATATATATATATATTGTATATTATGTAACGTAATTAACGCACACCCTCAGACACCCCAATTAGTATATTATGTTATAATCATAATCATACACTGAATTTTTAGTTAAACATTTTTATGCACTGATTATTTATCAAATTATTTATACTAATTCCAGAACAATGTTGTGGTCACAGTACAAATCCACGAACGCAAAGACTTTAACGTGCTTGAAATAATGTTAATTTTTCTTTATTTTTATTGAATGACAGAATTAGTAATAAAACAAATGAAACTGCAATCTTAAAAGTCGTATTGCCTTAAGTTAACGGTCCATTTCAGTTTGTTTTGACTGTACAGATTTAGTGTGACTGTAATTTACGTAGATTTAATTATTTTTGGGATAAAAAATTACCTATATAAAATTGATAGGAATCGATTCAGTAAACGATTCTGAACAAACTACTTTCTCAAAGTGCGTTAATTATGTTACATGTTGTATATATATATATATATATATATATATATTACTTTCTCATATTGTATATCATTTGCACTTTTCTTTATTTATATGTTTTTGCAACCATTTTTTTTTGTACACCTCCTCTATTTTGTGTATTTTTTGCATCAGTCCTCTAAGCAAAGGTTGCTCAGAAGAGATAACTTTCAAAGTGATGGGACTGCATGTTGTGCATATTATACTTTAAACTACACGTTTTGTGTATTTTGGTGTTACAATAAAGAATAAATAAACAAATAGAGTTTGGTGCAGCGTGTGGAGTTGCTGTGTATTTTGAAATACATTTTAAACCATTAAGGCAAATCCTCGCTACTACAGAGGCAAACACCCAGCGGTGAACTTTTACATAATAATGAAGATTTTATAAATTTGCATTTGTTGCTTCAGGCACGCCAATCTAATGCTAAACCTATTCTCCCTGATGGTGGATGCCTCAGTGCCAGATATTGCACTAGAACCAGACAAAGCTGTCAAAAAGGTGCAGGATAAACTGCGGTGAGTATAAGCGTATTTCTATTGAATTGATTGAAAATGCGTTTGTTTTTAAATCAATTATTATTTGAGAAGTAGACATTCATAAAAATATGATATAACCTTTATTTATTTAAGGATATAAAACTGATAACAAGAGTAATTACAGTACAGCATCATTAATTGCAAAACGGTTTGTATTGGTGCTCTGCGAATAACAACATGGAGTGTAGTATGTCTGCAGCACAGATGAGTCGGCTCACTGGCCAAGGACCTCGGCGTTGCTCGCTTAAAGTACCAACGTAAAATATATATCAGCATAAGAAGCATCCTAATTTTCATATAATGAATGACAAGGACTCTTTTTACTAGTAACAAGGCTGTAATTTGAATTTTTGAGGGTAGTTCTAATTAAATTTACGTCTAACAATCAGGTGGATTGTGTGAAATAATTTTTAAAAAACGAAGCTTTAGCTTTATATATACAATTATTTTATTTTATCTTGGTGATCCTAATCAGGATACTAGGATAGTTATTAAATTATTGTATTTTCAAGTCAATCTGCCTTCTACAAGTTTGAAAATTACATATTAAGATTCCATTACATAAATAAATCGATACACATAAGGGCGTTGCCAAGGAGGGGAAGGGGGAGGGGAGGGCAGAGACTCGAAAAGCTGTAGTCAAATGCAAAGCAATCCAGTCTTATTTATTGTACACTCAAGAGCTTGTGGATCTTTACACGGAATTTGTACCGTTCTTATTACAATCACTGTAGGCATAAGACTTGCAATAGAAGCGTAAAGCTTCATAAGCTCCTGTACTTACACTTTCCCATATGAACTTACCTCCCTCCTAGATTATCGGCTGGCGACGCCATTGGATACACGCGAAGTTAATTAAAGTGACGATTTCTTAAATTTACGCGAACACTACACATTGAATAAAACTAATATAAACTATAAAATAAAAAAAATTTATCGCATTTAAATACTACTTTAATTTGTTTTTATTATCCAGACGTTTTTAAACGCGATAAAATCCGTAAATAATAGTTTTATTCAATTAATAAAAGTGTATTAAAACATCATATTGATTAAAAGCCACGAAATTTTAACTACAATTTTATGGTAAGTTACATTTAATAGCTGATAAAGCATATCTAATTATTTAGATTGGACCTGGGAGATGAGGAAGCAGTTCATTACTTCCAGAACCTACTGGATATGTCGGTGACTGCTGTGATGGCCGTGCTGGTGGAACAGTTTCACAAGTTTGCCCAATATTGGCGCAAATAAATGTATCGACACTCAAACTGAGTTTTAATGGACAATTGCAAAATATGGGAATCATAGTATAACTTATATAGGTCAGTCCAACATGATATAGTCATTGCTACAGCCGCTGTACCCTGATGTAGAACAACACTTAGTCAGCTTTGTAATAAATCACTGCAGTATTTGTATTATTTTTCTTTAAAACTAATTACACTAGTCTCTCGTTAATTGCAAATGCAATAACAACCTTCCGGTTTCATTGTACATATAATAATACATATAATTAATGATAAACAATTTTTTTTATACTTATGTATAAGTTGTGCACTGTTTAATTATAAGAATGTAATATCTCATAATATGATAATAGAAATCATTTTTGTTTCATATATATTTATTTACACATGAGTGATGTAGCTAACAGTGAGTACAGCGCTTAATGTAAATATTAGTAAAAATATCTGTATAACATTTTACTGTGATATTTTACATATTGAGATAAAAATATAATATTTTGATAATGACATATTTGGTTTTATTTGTAATAAATAGTTTTATAAACATATTATACTTAAAAATATAGCGTTTACTTATAGTATTTTGAGTATTAATTGGAAATATTTAAAATGTAAAACTTTTGAAACAATTTCATCACTTGTTGAGTCTCGATAATGGATTTCAATCCCCCATTATTATTAAATAGGTTTCAAGATTCGATAGAAATACCAAATATTGATTTTGATGAGATGAGATGGTAACATTCAATAAATATTCCTTTCATGAAAATCAAGTATTAGCAGCCATAAAATCACATCCACTCGCAATGCAGTCGCTAGCTACATATATTTTACTGCCAGTTGCTATCTGTATGACATTGCATGCCGCAACCTCGGCATATGTGACACCGCCGATCACATATACTAAAACAGATTTTGATTTCAACGAAAATGCTGCATTTAATTTAGGATCAGTTTTCAACAACTTCTGTAAAGTTTTTGCATCCCTGCATCCAAAATCCAGTTCACTGTTTTGCAGTTTTAAATTTGATAATTTTTCATTTAATGTTTCCATACCTTCCTTTGTATTATCTAAAATTGTACCACCAAGTTTCAAATCATTCAAAACAGACAATTTGTTTAAAGCTTCCGAAAGAGATTCTGATGTCAATAATGCATTACAAAGTATGGCTATCAATGGTATGTAACCCCCATTAAAAACATAACTAGGTGATGTTTTAGAATTATCAGCTAGAGAGGGCAATTGTTTTAGTTTACCAGCTAAACTTTGAAAACTATTTTGCCATCTAGGCAGCCTATCACTCAGTCCACTTAAATTGGAAATGTTTAATGACAATTTGGGACTAGATGGTTGAACTAACAATCCAGCATTGATCAAATTGTTAAATATATACAAAAATTTGTAGCCAAATGCTATCAAATACTTGTTAACAAGAGTATTATACTCATCATAAGATAGGCCTTGAGTTAAACTAAGCAAGCACATTAATCTGAGACTATTATACATGTGTATGTCTGTACCAAAATTCTCATCAACAAATAAAAAATTAGACTTCTTGTTCCTGTTATTTAACATTTCACTCTCTGTAAATGTGATATTTTCAAATTTATTGTTCATCTCGGATATAATTGTTTCACAAGCTAAGACATGATTGACTAGATTCTGCTTAAAAAGAGTAACTTGCTGCAATTTAGTTGTTACAAAGTGTTTTATTTCTTGAATACCTAATGCTTTAATGTCCTCATTCTTCAGTAACTTCGCTTTTGAACTCAGCACACTAAGTACCTCTGAGAAGTGCCTATGCTTAATTTCCCCATATAAATTATCTATTGAACTGTCCAAAGTCATAGTAACCTTTTTGGAAGTATCTTCAGCATCTGTCATAAAATTTAATTTACCTTTCTTATACTTTGTATCTTTGACATTAAGATCCAAATGTCCACAGCTTATATTAAAAATTTCACTCAGCAGACCACTGTAAGTCGCTGGTGTCAGTAAACTTGAGGTATAATCTTGATTTCTATCTATTAGTACTAACGTATCAATCTCATCAGAGCTGTAGTTCCTTACAAAATCTCTTGAATATGTCTCATTATATATTTCTAAAATATCTAAAACACATGCAGACAATTTCCCTAATGACATAATGCATTTAGGTCTACCTGTAACATGGAATAAACTCCAGAGAGACATAGAAATGCTTGACAGTAAAGAATGGTTTTGCTCAACGTACAGTTGTTTAAACAGGAATGGTAGTTCTAAACTTAGAAGTCTATCATCCAGTAACATTAGCTCCCATGAAAAAGAGTGTAATTTCACAATACCGTACATACCCCTACTCTCAAGTATTGAGTCATAAGTATGTAAGACTTTTGGCACAATAATAATATTGAAACAATTTAAGTCAGCTAGTGATGGCTTCTGGCTAAGTTGGGATGATATATGGTCTAAAACACACTTGTATTTTTGTGTACATGCTGGTATGAAGTAAACTTTAATGATGTTGACTGTTGGCCCAAGTTGTGGATCCATTTTGTAGATCTTTTCAACTCCATGCTGCCTGTAAAAAATAAAATTTCATTCAAGATGTGATGGAGCATAAAAAGAAACTATCAACTTCCTTCAATAAGTGTTATTTTTACCTTAACCATGTTACACCACATATTCTTTCCAAAGGCTTGATTAACGTCGAATCTATTATTAAGTCAGATTTATCGCCGCATAAAGATAGTATTTTTTCTAATTTATGTTGCGATATAAGACACATAGATACAAGTCTTGCTTGTAATGGCTCCATGATGACTTATTAAATAATATTTATTGTTATTTGATATAAATCCAATTTAATATAAAATTCTTATTTGAGGTAAATGCTGGATTGTATTCGAATGTTTTCACACTATTAAAGTATGATATAAAGTCATGATGGTGATAATTGCATTCAAAGAATACAACCCGATTGCTACATAGTATTTAATATTTATTTATCTATAACTATGAATACAACTTTTTACATTTACATAAATGATAATTTTTTCATAAATCAACATAAAGCGAGCATAGTAAACAAAAACTGACAGCTGACACATATATTACTCTACTCTATGGCTGACACTGATCATTGCGTAGACAGAGAAACCTATAGACTAATGATTAGCATGGCCTAGAGTGAGAAAGGACGATAACGTAGTTTTAGATTATATAATAATCTTTATGACTTTTAAACATATTTAGATAAAATTTTAATTGTTCAAAGAACTGAACTGAACAAGATTCACCAATCTTAAGCTCACAAAACACTTTTTTCTCACTTAGACCAACTTATAAACTCCTTAGATCGCTACGAACTGTCAAAGTTGTTTAGCAAAGTGTAGTTTGCTAAACAAAAAAACCGGCACGGAGAAAAAGACAAACAATCACACCGCTCTGTCTCATTCCTATGCAAGACGTATGCATAAATCTATCTTTTTTCGTATGCGAATGCGAAAGAAGGCGTCAATGAGGGTTTTCTGAAATGTTCCCCGTGAGATGGCAGCGCTGTAGTGTCAGGTCCAACTACCTGTCAAAACACTTACACGATTTATATTTTTCGATCATTTTTTTGGTTTATTTATCCTTAAAAACGTTACAAACAGAATATTGTTTTCCAAAATGCCACAGTGTTGTGCAGTGCCTATGTGTGCAAATAAAAAAGGAGGGCATAAGTTCCCTACAGAAGATAAAAACCGATTAAAACAGTGGCTTGTAGCCATTCCGAAGGACTCAGTATTAGAAAAACGTAAGAATATTTTGTACTTATTTATAATGATAAGCTTCAGTTAAGTCACCTTGATTATATCTGTGCGCGACTAACCTTCAATGATGTAGTGTAAACGTTTTTTAGTACTTGCCTTATCAAAAATGATTTCATTATGACATTATATTTATTGAATTATTATTCCAGCCAGGCCTGTGTTGAAAAAATGTGCAGTGCCAAGTCGATTCCCATGGATTGACCAAAATTCTAGTTTGCATCAAAAAAAGAAGGAGCGGCATCAAAGGCGTTTGGCGCGAAATGAAAGGAAAATTAGTGTCCAAGTACACATAAACAATGAAAAAGAGAAGGATGACACCTTCCTCATGGAAACTACAAACTTTTTTCGAAGTAGAAATTGAATTCGAGAAGAAACAGAATGATGTTGGTATCCAATGTGATTTATGTGGAAGTGATAATCTCAAAACACTTAAAGAATGTCTTCAAAATGAAAATAAAAATAAAAAATCTTCAATTGCAAATGTGCTAGATATAACCAATGCGGCCGAAGTACAGTTTTATACTGGTTTCCAAGATTATGAACATATCAAATTCATATTTAGTATTTTTGGAGATGAAGTAAATTGTTTAAAATATTATCCTCAACTGAAAACATTGAAGGTGCCGTTTCTAAACCCTTGTGATCAATTCCTTCTAGTGTTAATTAAATTACGCCGGAACATGCTATTTACAGAACTCGCCTTTCGATCGAAGATTAATAAAACGGTACTAAGTAACATTTTCATAACATGGATCAATTACTTATATTGTAAATTGAAAGAGTTAAATGTTTGGGTGCCAAAACAATGCATAGATAAAAATATGAAATACTATGGCAAGATTAATCCATGCACTGTGATAGTAGATTGCACGGAAATAAAAATAGAGAAGCCCAAAAAATCCACTTACACAACAGCTTACATATTCCACTTACAAATCAGCAAATACTCTAAAAGTTTTAATTGGGATTTCAGCATCAGGCTGCGTTACATTTGTATCCGATGCATATGGTGGATCTACGAGTGATCGTGAATTGTTTGAAAAATGTGGACTTATTGATAAACTTGAACCTAATGATATCATTTTTAGTGACCGTGGCTTTAATGTACAAGACCTAGTGTGCCATAAAGATGTTACAGTTAATGTGCCAGAATTTTTAAAAAATACTGATGGACAATTTGAGACTTCTCAACTGACAAGGTCAAAAAATATATCTTCAGAACGGATACACGTTGAAAGGGTCATTGGTTTGGCTAAAACTTTTAAGATCTTAAGCGGCAAGTTGGATTCAAAATTGGTGCCTTTAGCAGATAGAATAATATTTGTATGTTTTATGTTAACCAATTTCAAAAATAATATTATAAAGTAAAATATGTTTTTTTTCAATTTTATTTAATTGATGTCGCTTTTAACAGTACTGTATTAAACATACTTTATTAAATAATAACAAGAATACAAAATTAAACTTTGTTCTAATTTCTATCACATAGAATCTTACAATATACTATAAAAATATATTAACAATCATACATATTTTTTGCTATCTTTGGCAACATAAATTGAAAAAAGAAAGCTTTTACTCGAGGGATTATAATATTTTGTATAAATGAATCATTTTTTTTAACATTTATTATTTTTTCATCAACATTAGTCCATATAAATAAATCACAACAATCTCTTCCTGTGACAAGTAACTGCGTTTGGATTTGGTAATAATAGTTGCTTGTTTCTTTCAGTTGCAAATCATGCTCTAAATGGAAATAATTGTTGGATCCAATCATTTCATCCTTTATGGAATATGGACATTTAACTTCTAAAATTTTGTTATCTCCAATTAATCCATCAGGAGAAGCGCCAATGAAAGGGTACTGCACAGAAACATATAAACCACAGCGTTCTACTTTTTTTCCAGTTTTCCCCTCATATGCTTCAATTGCTGTGGTTTCCATAGACTTGCCCCATTCTAAGGCCGTGCTTACTATTTTCTTATTACATATAAGGCTTTGTGCATACTTTTCTTGGTCCTTTTTAGCAGTAAATTTACAAATCTCACCGACTCTTGAAGCAGTCACTCGAAAAGATCGTTCTGTATGCCATAACTTTGTCTTCGTCTGATTTTTAGTTTTCTTTTCAATTTCCTTTGCTGAGTCAGGTGTAACCTGTTAGGGGCAAAGGATAAGGAAAGTATGAAAGTATAAACCTAAACAAACATCTACAATCCCTATGCAAGTGCAATTAATATTGATGATTACATAATATACTAAATAATAAAAAAATATAGTAGCTACAACTTCTCATGATTCACCACCTCGCTTGCTACAGTACAGTCAATAAGATTGTACAAGTCGTAGCTACTATAATAAATAAATTCATCTGGAATAAATGGCTTACAGATATTTTATTAAGAATAAGTTGATGATGTAAAGGAAAAGGTAGGTAATCATGGTCATGTATCACATCTTGCATGTTTGCACTGTCCAAAATTCCACATAATCCTATTCTTTTTTGTGACAATGAGCAGTAGTTAATGACTTTATTTCTAACTGTTGTAGCCCATTCTTTTCCCTGACTGATAAAGGACTGTGGTCTTGGATCATAGCACACACTTCTTTTCTTTTTTTTGCAAACATTATATTCTGCTATTTCATATGAAAGGTTCTCTGCTTTTTTCTGAAACATCAAGTTTATTTTTTTTAGGTACATGCCATACTTGTTTTTTTTGTGTTGGAGTCATTTTAATTAACCATATATTCTGCTCTCGGAATTTGAGTATAGCATAGCACAAAACTGACACATGCTTGCAAATGGCTTTTGGTCCTTTCCCTGCTACACATTCACACACCGATTGTATAATAGATCCACTTCCATTACATATGGCAATGGAAGCAAAATAAGTGAGGGCTTTTGTATTTTCAGAATGGACTTGACCTTTGAAAAATATATGTGTACTAGTATTTGCGGTCACTAATGCGAGTAGGTAGTTATTTTGCAGCATATTATAACCTCTTCTGTGCACTGCAGAATAATCTGACATTCCTATGCCGTCTTTATACAATTCAAGGAAATACGTATTTATGTTAATAATGTCAAAATTGGGTAAAACTGTTTTTGAATCTACACTTTTGTATAACTTTTCTTCTGGCCATTCTATTACATAATTAATCTCACTTAAGAGATGAGAATTATCATTTTCATTTGATTTGAAGTTGTTGTTTCTGTCATAGTCATTTAGCCTGGAATATATAATATACATTAATCAACAACAACTCACTAAAACACAAATAACTTCAATTTAGTAGTTAAAAAAAAAACAATCAAATTGTGGAAACAAATAGAAGTAGATTATGTTTACCTTTCAATGAGCTTTTCTTTAGTACCAGTGACTTTTGCGCCTCTCTTTTTGAGCTCAATTTTCAGTTCGGCAACCTTTCTTTGGCCGTAATCCATAATAAAATCAATAACTCTTCCAAATACATAAAATTTCACTAAAAAAAATAATACGTTCGGTAGGAATCTGTGCTATCTGACAGCTGTTTGGACCTGACGCATACGAAGCACCGCCTGGCGGCAAAAAAAGTATCGGAAACCCTGATTTGTCTATAGGTTTCTCTGTCTACGGATCATTGGCTGCGTTTGGCAGAAAAAAGCGCTTGTAAGCATAATGGCGATCGTAAGCGGTAAACGCTGTTAAATCGTAGCTATTTTCCTCTAGGACACGAAGTTAGCTTTAACCGGGGAACCTAACCTAATTTAAATATATGTTTGTAAAGTATTCATATTAAAAACTTACGAATCATGAATTTTTAATAACATGTATATGTTTATTCATGTCATTATATTACTTAAAACTAAAATTGCACAAAACAACTTATAAACTCTACTTCAAAACAAACAAATTAAATAATCAAAATGGCGGATTGTGTCAGCGCTACTGAAGTTAGAAAACTAGTCCTGGCCGAAAACTGTTTAGTTTCGCCATTCTGCTTACAAGCGCTGGCTAGCGCTTTTTCTGCCAAACGCACCCACTTACTGGTGACTGTGTAACCGGCCGGTGTAATAAGATTTTTGGCTTAGATGCTTGTTATTGAAGCCATGTTTTCATTTCATTCGGGGTCTTTGTTTTTATATACTGGACGAATTTTTTACCGTCTGTTGATTGAAAGTTATTGAAAGCATGGAGTGTAGAGGTAAGGAGAACCAATTCCCACAGGAATAACAGTTCAAAAACTCTCCACAATAGCGCTGGAGTAGCTAGAGGGTATGAAATGAACTCAGCAGTTGTCAACGAAGTGAAACGTACTGAGTTGAAGAATTTAATATTTGTGGTGACTAAAGTAGTTGACGAAACTGCAGCATTTAAAACATCAACTACCCAGGTTGTCTAAAATAATTTTGTAAATATAATCCAGAAAAAGTCGCCGTAAAAAAGGTTGAGACTTGAGAGTGATTTTGAAAATAAAAATTTTGAAAACTATAAAATAATAATTATAAATAGGAATATGGTGAGTCTGTGCAATAAAAAAAATATAAAAAGTTCTTTAACAATTAACACAAGCTACAGTGGCGCCACCCATATTTAGCGCTTTCCTACGGACACTTTTTTGTATAGAGTATTGTCCTCCTTACCTCTACACTTCATAGTGTGAAGGTTACTTAATATTATGTAGTAGTATTTATTGATAGATCAATTTCATAATTTGTAAAATATCGGGTTAACAAAAAATTGTAAAATATCGGTGCCATAGGCTTCTATTCCGTTCATCTATTACACCCTATTTTTTTCCAGAGGGAAAAAAATTATCCAGTATATTCAGTATCAAGTGATAATAATCCTTTATAGTACAATGATTCACAATATTATGTAGTTGCGTTACAATGCAAACTTTTTGGGAGAAATTGACGGCAGCCTGAGTCAGCAGACAGTTGTCGATGGTATCTCAAGGTGCCAAAGCACAAAACCATCAGATTTAATACACAAAATCGCATCACTTTTACGTATCAAAATCTACTTCAAACCATTAATTATACAATATTACAGGAGCAGCAATTCTGTGCGGGGTTAAAACTCCGACGAATGACATTTAACCAATGACCCATAGACACAATGCCTGATTTAGACTTCCGACAGCCCTAGACTAACTACGAATATGTGCCCCCCCCCCTCACGTCACTGCCCCGCCGTTACCGCCACTCATCTGTCAGTGCTTGCCCAGCCCACGATTATATTTACTAGATTTTTATATTATAATAGCTTTCCACCCCGCGTTTTCTTTCATGTTAAATCTAATTTTCCTAATAGTACGTGGCGATCGTCGCCTATAAACAACTTCAAAACCGGGGAAATTGCAGGTGCGTTGCCGGT